CGATCAAGTCAGCCATAGTAGCAGTAGTAAGAGTTGTTTTTTTCTCAAATCACAATCACGCCAAGGACACCTTGGCGATTACCCTGTTGTAATCGTCATCATCATACACAAATCGTATAATAATAATAATAATTGAAAATGAAATCCTGTTGAAATCTACCACGACTACTGGCTAATATCCATCAAGGCTGTTGTGGTTGTAGATAGCCTGCTAAATTCTATGATGGTTATAGATGGCTGCATTGGATTTGGTATAATGACGATATAATTGCGACATTAAGTGAAAGCATCGTTTTTAGTTTTAGAAGCTAAAACAGCTTGAAAATCAATATCATCATGAGCTGTAGTAATAAAACATATATATAAAATTTTTCATAAAGTTTGCCGCTTATTGTGAAACAAAATAAAAAAATAAAACAACATTGGTAACAATGCAAACAAACATTTTGATATTTTGACATAGTCATCATTGATATGGGTGATTAATGGCAATCAATTTACTTTATTGACATTGATAATGTCCATTCAAAAAAAACGCATATTTAGAAAGATTGCAAAAGCTACGACATTTACAAAAAAAAAAATGATTATTAATGACAATGGTGACTAGTTAATTTATAGACAACTATAAATTCAATTCGGAATCAAGATCATTTGCTAATGAAAATAGTTATCATTAAGACAGAGAAAAGGGTACAAAGGATTACTTATTCATTATTCACAAGTCCAATCTTAATTTTAGCATTAATAATGGAATAAAATATGCAAAATAAAACAAAGAGGCAAAAAAATTTGATTCTTTCTTTATCATCACATATATCGTAAATGAATAATAAAATATCCTGTCCAAATTATTATTAGTTTGTATTTATGTGCAAAATTAGCATCCGGAAAGTGAAATATTCAGCTAACTAATAAAAAATCAAATTGTCATCATAAACGCTGTCATACATAAGAAAAGTAAAGGTAGTATAATTATTATTTTTTTTTTTTTTTTCTTGGTGATGGCAATGATGATTTTGATTTTTGCTTCAAGCAAATTCTAAACGAAATCAACGAATAAGATAGAACAAAAAGTAAAATCACTCTACGAAATTATCCAATGAAAATGAAAACAATTTTTTAGATTCATTCAAATAAATAAATGAAAATCTAGACAAACCTATTTCCGGTCCACATAATTATGTGGCATTGAAATATTAAAGCACATCCACAAATCAAATAAACCAAAACATATCAGGTAAAAATGTATACTATAACAACAACTTATCGAAAATCGAATAATCTATTATAGCTACAAAATTCAAATGAAAGTAAATTTCAATGCACGAGCTCTATTTAGTCTTTGAAATCATAAATATTATCAAAAAAAAAAACATCAACAACCCTTCAGGTTTTCATTTTCATTTTGATTAGGCAAAAAAATCTCTAATTCTATCAACAAAGCCAAAAACCATGAAAACAAAATATTTTCATTGGTTAGTTATATTGGATTATGGAATCATTTTGATTGTTGTTACCTGGTTTTTAAATATTACATTATCAGATTTGAGTGTGTTTGTGTGTGTGTGTGAGTGTGTGTGCGAATATCGTTAGTTTATGGTCTAGAATCAAAATGTTTGTGTTTCTGTTAATATTTGACTTGTCTCGATTCGATTCGACTTTGAACAACACATAAAAACTAGAATCGATCGTTTATCGGAGTTCATCGCCACCTTGAACACAAATAAATGAATAAATGACCGACCAACCAACCATCACAATGATGATGATGATGATCATCATCATCATAAGGTTAAACTGAACTAGAAATGACCGACTCTACCGAACTGAACATTACAAAACTTGATCGTCATAAGATTCAACTTTTTTTCCAAGAGAAAGGACATACTTGTTTTTTGTTATTGTTGTTCATCATTGATGGTTGATTAAGATGATGATGACTTTTGAAATACCAGCTGCTGCTGCTGCTGCTGCTGTAGGATGATTATGATTATGATGATGATAATATCAGATAGATATCAGGCATTTGGTTTGATAGTTATATACAATAATAGCAAATTCCATTCGTTTGACGATAGCCAATGGTATGGCAAACCTAACTACCTACGCATCCATCTACCTATTGTAATTTTGTAATGATAATGATGATGGTGATGATGATAAACTGTGATCTAAGAACCGACACTGACGATACCTTCAAAAAAATATCTCATATTTGAAAACAGATGTGTATGGATAAAAGTTAATAGACTTGTGTTGATAGTTGCGATGCAATCGGTCAATAATATTCCATTATATTAAACGTGGAACAAAACTTCGAACAATATAACAACGATAACAACAACAACAACAACAATATGATAAGCATTTGAATCGTTTATACGGCCAATTTTTTCATCTTTATTTTTTTCACTTTATTTACAAAGATATAATTTCAAATAGATACGCACGAACGGCATTATAATGCATGAAGTTTCTGAAATAAAAAAAAAATCATCGAAAAATGATTATTATCAACATTATCTTCATACCTTCATACATTTCACAGAAGCTTTGATAATATAATTGCTGTATACAATAAATCCGATTTATTTGGTTGTCGATCTCAAACCGACATATAAACAATCGAAAAGAGATGGAGAAGAAAATTGTTATTTAAAAAAACATACACAAACTCTATTCAAAGAATCGAATTTTTTTTTTGCTCACAAAAAGGATTGTTACTCATAGCAGATTTTCAACATCAATTTGACTAATAATGCTAATGTAAAAAAGAAGTTCGAAAAAAGTTTGAACAAATTAATCTCTATAGTTTGAATTAATCTTTGGAATCTAGGGATAAATAACAAAGTTAAAAAAATAAAAACCGGAAGTCTTAATCTGGCTTTTCACACTTTCGATTTTTCCTCACACTCTTCTTGAACATTTCATTCATCTAATAGAAAAAAAATGAATCCACCAATATGGGTGTCAATGATAATGATATCAGTGATTGAATATCCAATCATAGTAATCATCTCAATTATTATTAAGGCTGATCATTATGATGATGATGATGAAGACCGGACTTGACCATCAACAATGAATGATTAAATAGAAAGTTATTTTTCTTGTATTTTATTAGCCCAGCCAAAAATTTGATGATGGCAACAAGATAGTAACGATAAGGATTTCCTGTCAAGTGTATGATGATGACCTTTTTCGTGGTACTAGACAATCAACAAGAATAATGAATTGACAACAGATGTATATAAATTAGTTTGCCCTACGGGGCCAATTCAAAAATAAAATATAAAAGTTCAATGTTATTATCGCATTTGTTGTGATGGTTTCTTCGTTTGGAAAATTTATTATTTCAAGACCACGAAAAACCACTAACCAGATGTGTGTCCTACTTGTTTAGGGAAATTAACATTTTTGCTAGCTATTTCTTGACATAATCAAAAAAAAAAAAAAAAAATAGACTATACAGGTAAGCCGTTTAACTGTTAAAAGTTTTGTTATCGACTTGATAATCAATATCCGTCATCATTTGTACGTTACTGTTGGCTGTTCTATTTAATGTCATGATGATAATTCTCTCGTGTCTAATAACCCAAAACACACAAACGATAATCTTCGTCGATAATTGCCATCAATTTATCAGTTTGTTAAGTGTTAATGACTGATTAGAAATCGATCGAGCACCTTTCATTATCACAAATGTAGATGTTATGGCCTTAAGGTATTTTTCAATCTCAATAGGATAGAAATTTTTTCTTAAAGTGAAAGTCATCGATTTGTCTATATGAATATGTGGGTTTATGTGTGTGTATGTGTGTTATTCTCATAAGCACTATCAGCTCTCCAAGTCAAATCATTTTTGTTTAGTTAAAGAATTTCGAGGTCATCAGGACACACATTGGAGAAAAAAACAACGTCATCATTTTTCTTATCTCATTAGATGCCAAAAAATAGTTTAAAAGCATTTTTTTTCTTTTGATTCTAATAATGAACGGATGTAATAATTTTTTTGTTTTGTTTTTTTAAATTCATATTTTCTTTATAACATTGAACCTCAAAGAATCCATCGTGAATGATTCCTTTATTCGTACGTTTATTTGTCTCAAACCCTCATCCTGTTGAGGCTCTATTATACAAATTTATTTTTCCTAAAAAACCGAACAAACAACAAATGACGAAGATGATGATGATCATGAATACTATAGCATTGAAAATCGCATCGTATTAGAAAGTGAGAATGAACTCTGGTGAATGGGTTCAAGGTTGGATATGTTCGGTGGTGGTTAATGATTTCGATTGCAATTTTTTTCTTATTTGTCTTCAGTTCTGATTGTATTATGTGTGTATATGTGTATATGTGTGTGTTCATGTACGTTTTGGATGAATGATGACTTTATGGTGATCCGAATGCCATATCATTCCATTTCTTGCTATACAATACAGCACGAAAATCTCCGGCAGTGGAATTCACAAATATTCCGATTCAAATACATTTCATAATATATAGATCGACTTGGTGGTTGATTTAAACTAGTGTCAAGTTCGGTGAACGTCGTATCTCTCTATATATACATCACAAACAACATGGTTACAATTTAGATTTTGCCATCGGAAAAAAAATTCATTGTCAAGGTTATTGGCCCAACACAATCCACCACTTCCTTCGACCATATCAAATACAACACCAGACCCAAGGCCTTTTACTTTGAAAAGACGGCTATCAATCAATACGTAGCTGAATCAAAAACATCAAATTGATTCATTTTCTTTACAATTTTTTGTTTTTATAAAAGACGAAACAATTTTTGAACCTAGTTGCGATTCTTAATTATCATTCAGAATCATCAGATAAAAGAAAGCGGCAGTACAGATGCATTGCAATGAACTTGGGCGTTTCCAAATGTGAAATTATGGCCACCGAAAAATGGTACAACTGTAATCAAATTCATAAATCATGCAATTCTATTATTTTATTAAAAAAAATCACCAAACCATTATCATTTCAATCAACCTGACTAAACAAGTAGACTGCTTTTATTTGAAAAAAAAATTCAATTCTTGCATCAGTTTTTTGTTTGGTTTTGTTTGAAAAATATTATCATCAACATAATAATAAGAGTAATAATAATAAAAAAAGAATGGTTTCCCATCTCGCATAAGCTTTTGAAATATAGCAAAGATCATGCATGCAGACAGGCAGGTTCTCTGTTGAATATCAATGATTTTGGTTGTTGAATAAAATTCGTTTGAAAAAAGAATGAAATCGTCCATCATCAAAAGGACGGCAACATATCACGTAGACGACTTTGAAGAATATGATGATGATAACAGAAAGATAATAATCATATGTTTCGGTGTTTGGCCTGAAGACTACAATCATTTTCATTTTTGATCATGATCATCATCCACGGCGTTGAGTGAAGGCGTCACTATTTTGCTGTGAAATTGTCGAATTAAAGAAATGTCCACCACTACCGCCTGATGGTTGGCCAAAGCCAATGGCCAATGATGAATTAGGATTTCTATTATCATTGGCTAATGAATCAAATGAAGGCATTGGTTCATTTTTGAAAGCCATACTGCCAAATGAATGGTTTGAATTGTTGTATCTGTTAGGGTGTTCAAAAAATCAGGTGAAAAATCAATAAATTATTAAGCAAAGTAAAAAAAAAACTTACGGTGATAGCATAGAGGCCGTTTGTTCGCCACCGAATGTTGCTATACCGCCAAACATTGCCGATGATCCGAATGTAGGGCCACCACCAAACAATGGACTTCCACCAAACACATTAGTTGCCGGTGGTGAATGAGGCGAGCTAAATGATGGTCCCGGTGGTGATGTATTGGTCAGTGGCTGAAATGGTTGTTGTTGGTCGAATAATGTTTCGGTTTTTGTTTGTGGCGATAATGATGATTCGGCTGATACTCGCTGCTGTCCAAATAGATTGTTTGATTGAGTGGTGCCACCAAAACTAAAATTTCCAAATCCGCCAGTTGTCGTCGAATTCCCAAACAAAGACGATGTCGTTGATGCTACCGGTTGACCGAAATGAGAATTTGATGATTGAAGATTACCACCAAACGATGATCCAAATATCGATGTTCCTCCTGTAGTTGAGGTCGTTGTAACTACCACAGAGGTGTTGCTAATGCCAGAGTTCAACGATAAACTTGATAATGTTTTATTGAAATTAAACGATGGTTGTGATTGTTGAGCAACAGTTATAGCAGTCGTGACTGTTGTTGCCGTTACCGATGATGGTTGCTTGGACTCACCAAACAATGAGCTAGAAAAGGATGGAAACGATGGTTTCAATGCGGAAGATAAAGATGATGATGATTCAATATTAGCTGAAGTAACAAAAGAGATAGCTGATGCAGTAGATGTTGATGATATTGTTTCAGTTTTACTAGTAGTTATAGGAACCTCTGTCTTTGTTGTTACCAAATTGTTATAGACCGTTTTGTTTGATTTATTTGTTTCAGTCAAAGTTGTACAAGATTTACTCGGATCATTAAGCTTAGACAATGTTCCGCCAAAGGTAAAAGATGGTTTAGTTACAAAATTCAAAGTCGTAGTAGTGACAGTTTCTTGTCGTTGTTGGTCAACTACCGATTCTTGAGATTTGGATGAATTCAAACCTGCTGCTTCTATCTGTTCTTTATGGTTGTTTTGATCATCACTTTCGCCATTATCATTCTTTAATAGGAATGGTTTCGATGTAAAAGGTGTTGTTTTACTACCGGAAATATTCAAGTTCGAAAACGAATCTACTCCACCTGAATTGGATGCGAAAGTTCCGAACATCGAAGCGGAAAACGATGGTATCTTAGACGTCAAAAATGATGATGTGGTGACAGTTTGTGTTGTAATAGCAGCCGGATGGCTAGCGGAAACAATGGAACTGGAATTTGTTTCATGTGGAAATGTCGTTATCGTTGTCGTCGGCAATAAAATTGAAGTCGTTGATGTTACTGTTGAAATTAAATCTTTAAAGGGCTTTGTTGTTGAATTAGTTGGTGATGATATTAATGAGGACAACGTGGGAAAAGAGGTACTTGCTGCTTTCTGTTGTTCAATACAATCATCACTATCACCAGCTTGACCGCCACCAAAACCGAAAAACGATGTATTTGTTGTAGATAAACCAAAATTTGCACTTTCTTTCGATTTATGTTCATGGCTACTAGTAGTAGTGATATTATTACTGGACGAACTGTGTAACAAGTCTGTTGGTATAGTCCAAGATGCAAGATTAGAATTTGTTTGAAATTTCGGTAAAGTCACAACGGCTGTAGTTTGTGGTTGTGATTGTGGCAATGCTTGCGAAATGGATGAATTTTGTTGCTGTTGGAGTTTACTGTTGGCCACTATAGAGTTGGTTATAGCTGGATAAACTACATCCGGTTTTGTAGTAATCGATGTTGCTCGTGGTTGTTGTGATGACACTGATTGTGTATGAATTATTTTATTTTCCTTGTTTTCGGTTGTTTCGTTATTTTTATCACCCTCCAGAATGGATGATGTATTTTTTTGTTGTTTTTTGTCTAACATAATGCGACGTTCTTTGATTTTTTCCAAAACCGAAGCAAAACGAGATTTTTGATTAGTATATGATGAACCGTGACCAAGTTGAATCTGTCGACATACACGTATCGGAATCGAGTGACGATTTTCAAGGAAATTCCGTAATGATATTTTACGATCAGATTGCATACATTGTACAGTAATTGATTCGCGATAGTAGCGTTCTTTTTTACAAGTAACACTAGTGTTGGTTACATTTAAATTTGTGACAACAGATGATTTCATCAATGAAACATTGCCAATCAATCGAATCAAATCCTGTAAATCATTGCTATCCTTACATGAAGAAAAAGATGATGATCCATTCGGCATTCTGCCTTGTTGGTCGACAAATTTTTTCATCAAATCTTTAATCTGTAATTTAAGATTTTCAATCAACTGCTGATTATTGATCAATGCTTTGCACACAATGGCGGAGACATTCTTGGATTTTCCAACACTGATAATATTGCAATTTTCATAATTGTTGTTTTTTTCATCGGTGATAAATGATGAATGTGGCCACGTTGGCAAGGAACGATCACGAATGGCAGAATTTGAATGTCGATGATTATGAAACGATGTAGATGTTGACGAAGATCCTAGCAGCTTAATCCGTTGTAACCATTCTTGCCATTCCAAATCAAACTTGTTATTCAATTCGCGTAATTGAATTTCAATATAATCTTTCAATGCTTGAATCTCTTTCAAACGACGAGCTGTTAACGGGTCAAGATTTTTCTGTTGCAATATGTGTCTGTATTTAGGATCATTATGACGATCCATCAATGTACGGCTCTCTTCCATCAAATATTGAAGCTCAAGGCAAGAGGCCTTGACAATTTCAGTGAAATAAAAAAAACGTCGATGAATAAAAAGGAAGCAATAAGCAAACGAAAAAAAATTATTATCATTAGATTCTTTTTATAAAAACTTCAAAAATCAAAAGATGGTTATATAGAAATGTAATGCAAAGAAATTGATTTGTTACCTGAAGATCGTTGACATCGTGATTAAATGAACCATAAGATGATGATATATTTTCCAACATTTCCGTAATAAATTTCGAATCGAATTTAAGCCGATCCTGTTTTTTGTTCGAGCCAATGGTCGTTTTTCGCAAAAGAGTTTGCAATGAATGCACTGATTGCCGCAATTGGTGGTCGAATTCTTTTATGTTGTTAAGAATTTCTTCTGAATATAAATCTTCGATGTTACGAACTATTTCACCTTCTTTCTTTTGGGGTTGATGTTGTTGCAACTGTGTTTGTTTTGAGAATTCTTGTGATTTCATTGATAACACTTTATCCGATTCAGGTGAAATAGGTTTTTGATTAAAGCCCATTGATGAAGATGAAGGGAAAAGATTTTGTTTTGAATTAAATTCAAGCTTGGGAGTTTGATTTGATCCTATTGTTGTTGTAGAGAACAGTTGTTGTTGATTATTACCACCGATTAATATGCTTGACGTTGTTGCTGTTACCGATTTTTGGATTAATGGCATAGGAACTGGTTGTAACTGCAAGTTAATAGTGGAAACAGGAGGTGTAGGTTGTTGTTGCACTGCTACCTGTGGTTTGACACATTTAGGAGCTGTAGGCACTTTGATGAATTCAGAACCATTTTCATAATCGATTAAAAATAATGTCAAATGTCCAAGAGAATTATAAGCCAATGCAAATGGTTGATGGATTCCACCTTTAAGGATCGATGTTGAAAGCTGAAATTGTTTCGGTGTACCATGAGCGAATGATAGGCCACGAATTTGAAAAGATTGATCTGCTTCTGAAAACATCAACCGATAACCATCATCGTTAGTGAGTTCAGACCAATTATCGGCAACAGTTAATTCAGGAGATGTCGAACCAATCATGGCAAATTCGTTTGATTTGTTTGTGAAGAAAAATATCAAATTTTCTAAGGGAAAAATGTTTCCTTCAAATGATTCATTCGATTCTTCAGGACATTCAATAATAAGACGCCCGAAATCAACAATCTTCATTACGGCATCGGCACCAGTTGCTTTAGATGATGGTATAGAGACTAATATGAAACAGGTCTCATCAGCTTCATCATTTCTACTAATGATGACAAAATTGAATGTGGATAGCCAGAAAATATTGCTCACACGAAAACGCTGAAAACTTTCAGGCAATTGAATTTTTTTTGTTTCCTGTAATCCGTTACTGAGCACAAGATTTTGTTCGTTGAGTTGAAATTTGTATTGGACGAAACTAGCAGTACCATCGCTGATGACAATTTGCTTGCCCTTCGGACTCCAACAAAAAGTCGAAACATAACAATTGGCAGCTTGCAGTTGAGATAAAACGACTAAAGTTTTGCTGGGATAATCGCCAATATGAATGATAAAAAAAGAACCATCGGTCAGAGAACAGGCAAATATATTATCGTTCATTTCGGGATGCCAGGATATAAAACGGATTTTAGTCACCGTATTGACCGAAAAGTTGAAATGATTGAATGGAACAGTTTTTTCTTTGGTTTCTTCGATTGAATCAGTATGATAAAAATAAATAAGTGCCGATGGTTGTGTAGGGCTATGACAAGCGACAGCCAATTTTGTGCCGTATCCTTTGCGTGAGATCGATATTAGATTTGAAACGTGTACCTGATCGATAATAATCACAGTTTTAGACGGAATATTCGGATCCACATGTTTCAAAAAACTTTTACTCCAGACATCAAAGTTCAGCAAGCTAACAAGCGGTGCAGAAATTAATTCATTTCGGCAGCATATTATTATTCTTTGATTCCGATGTTCAATCACTAAACAGTTGCCTGACCCACCCACATTTTCCGATGTTATTTGATAGCTTTTCAATTGGATGAATTTCAATTCCTGAAAAATTTAAAATCAATATTGCATTAAAAATCAAAACAAAATATCAACCTTTAGACATGTTAATTCAGATTGTCGTATATTGACCATATTGATGAATACCTAAAACATGAAACTATATGTAATCAATAATAATAATAATAAAACTGATTTAATTAAATAAAAAAAGACTCATAATAATGAGCAAAAAACAATCGCATGTAAATCATCGCATCAATATTGATGCCCGGCTGAAGCAATAATTGATTTCACAATTGTTCATAAATGACGTTTGCTTTAATTTATAACTGCATTAATCATTCAATAAAACGTTTGAGTGTCGTTGTCTCCAGTATGAATAATTCTGAAAGACACTTTGAATAAAATAATACATTGATTTAGCGTTTAGATAGCATCTAATCAACATGAGAATAATTAGTGCCAATTTGAGAGGATAGAATGCAAGGCGATCAATGTACAGAATAACATATAAAATAATCAAAGTAATGTGAATTATATTAATCGATCGCAATAGTTTGTGTTGTGTTCGAATCAGAATCTCTCGGGTTGACCATATATAGGCGAAAAAACTGGGTGGTTTCATTGATACGTTGTAATCGCATTGACATCGATGACAATTTGTAAAACCAGTGCTTTCAATCCATTCAATCAGACATTGTCGATGGAAATTACTTTCACGACAATAGCAGAGATTTGGTGTAAATTTTAATTCCAAACGATTTACATTTTCCGGCTTCAAACACAATCGACAATATTGTAGTTGATCCATTTTCTCTTAATTAAGAAAAACATTTAGAAAGTAATCGGTTTATAAAACTAAATTTTTTTATTATTAAAAATTTCAACAATGAATTATATCCTGCCATCTTTTGAATTTTTTTTTGGTAAACTGACCCAATATTTTGCAAAAACTAATGCACAAATGTGAGTAATGGTTCTCGATGTTGATTGACACAATAGTGTCTTCAGGAGGAAATGGTCAAAACATCATTCGTATTTCTAGTCTGTGTGTTATCAGGTTTTCTTCTTACAATTCAATTGATTGCATTCAAATTGTTAATCAAACAGGCCACAGTTGAAGAGCCAACTGCTTGGGTAAGTGTGTATTGATAACTCGTCAAGACATGTCAATCATTTAACCATTGGATCATTTTCATTTAGAAAATACTCGATCAAATAACTGTAGCAGCACAACAATATAAGATACCATTGTTTGTTATCGATCAATTGTTGTTGAATTATATCAAACAAGGTGATTATCTACATACTGCAAAATCGTGGCCAAAAAATTATTCGTCTAAAAATGTCAATCATCACCACTTTTCATCAAAACGAAAATTCTACAGCGATTTCATATCCTATCACCAATCATCTAATTCATTATTGTCAAGAAACCGAGAATGTCGAATATTTTGCAGAGGTGAAAGTCATTTAACTCATCTTGCTACTTTGGCCGATTCGATTACGCCTGAAACGGTCATTCATTTCGGAAATTATCTCAAAGATCATCATAGTCTTAGTGTGATCACACTGAACGACATTGATTCATCGCTGTTGCATTTAAATCTACATGTATCAATTCCTACGCATATTATCATCGCCGATGAAAGAGTGGATATCCGAAAGCAATCACATGTTGTACATATTGTCATTCTCTATGATCGTGTTCAAGGTAATAATTGGTGGCAAGCACCGGTCAAATTAAATGAACATCATGAACGAATTCTTCATCGTCAAGGTCTTAAAAAAACCGAATTTCGCTTGCCATATTCAAGTGCCATCTATGACAAGTAAGTTTAATGTTTGGTAAAAAAAAATTTTTTTGTTGAAAAAATAATCTCAATGTTGATATATTCTTATGAAGGACTGAAATAATGCGGACAACCATTGATGGTTTAAGGATTTTTCTACCACATCCACCAAAATCATTTCTAAACCCCTTAAATGATAAAAAATTCATTGAATGTGATCGTCGACGATCAAATGAATTCTACAGCGAAAATCCCAAAGATGAAACTCCTGAAGCAAATAATTTTGGAAAGAAAGCTCAAACATTGTTGACAAAAGCTCGACAATTGATTGAACATGAATTAGGTCTACCTTTTTGGCTAAGTTCTGGGACGTTACTCGGTTTTTATCGTCAATGTGATTTTATTGTTTACAGTGGTGATGTCGACATAGGCATGTGGGCTGATGATTTTAAACCAAAAATAGTTGATTTATTTTCCATCAATAATATACCATTAATACATTGGTTTGGTCGGCCAAATGATTCACTGGAATTATCATTTTTGATGGGTGATCTTAAATTAGACATTTTTTTCTTCTATCGTGAACAAGATCATTATTGGAATGGTGGTACGCAAGCTAAAACTGGTCTAAAATTTAAATATGATTTTCCCAAATTCACTCTTTGTTGGACCGATTTTATTGGCCTATTGGTAAGGATACCTTGTGAAACAGAGTCATATATTGAAGCTAATTATGGTAAACAATGGCGAATACCACAACGTGATTGGGATTGGAAATCCAGTCCGCCTAATGTTCGACCTAATGGTCAATGGGATCCAAATGAATGGTCCGAAACCATAAGACTAATTCCGATGCCTAATGTTTAGCAAAAAAGTTTGCAACTAAATCAGGCACACATATCATTTTCTTATCGAGTCTCAAATACATTTTTAGTCAAAACCCGTCAATTTATTTGGTAGGAAAAAAAATAAATATCCCTCTAATAATAATTGTGTTTATAAAATCATAGATTTACACGGTAAAACAAAAAATTGATTCAATTACGAAAATTAAAATATTGTACATTGTTCATGATTATTAGATGATTGACCAATAGAAACAGATCGTAACGGCCTTAGTTGTCTATGATGTTCATGATGATTATTTTCTTTGATTGCTTCACCCATCGATTGATGATGATGATGATTTTCTTGCATTTGTTTTTGCTGTTGATTGGTCATTGAAAATGAAATTGAAGCCGAAGATATTGTTGATGATGAACACGATGATGACATAATGCTTGAAGCGGATGAATTTGTTTCCGAAATTGACAAAAATTTGAGAGTTTGATTCAACTTTTTGTCCGGACCATTCAATGTTAACGGATCGGATGTCATTCGCATTATGGTACCAGGATAAGCTCGACAATTTTTGATGGTTCCATTGCAATGATTAGACATTTTAAACTTATCAATATCGCTAATTATGGCACCATTATTCTGATCCTCATTATTTTCATCAACTATAATACTCGTCGATCGATCATCAAAATTGTTCAGAGAACAATCTTCTGAAACCTCTTTAATATCATTATTACCATGATTTAAATTCTCGTTAATCGCGACATTTTCTTCAATGCAACATTTATCTGGCATCGGTTGATTTGTATCAATTGTTGATGACATGGCTGCTCTACCTGGCATTGCTCGATTTATTGATTTCGTACGATCAGAAATCATCGGCTTTCGTGAATCACGATTGTTGCCCGAACCTATTATTAAACTAGTACCATTGTGATTAGTGCCTGTGATAATTGGTGCCGATAATGGTACAGACATTTCTTCAAGTTTATCAGTTGCTTGTGGTTGATGATGATGATAAGAATGTTGAACACTATTACTTCTAGTTCTGGTTTGATGTTGAGAATTATCGCTTGTTGGATCTTGATTTTCTTCAGTTTGGTTGGTGGCTCGCAGAAAGCGCTTCAATTCTTTAACAGTGACCCAACATCCGGCTACTCGTGCAGCTTGCAATAATCGTGATACGCATTTTGAAGCGACTTCTGGTTTTTCAAGGTTTTGCAACACAATTATATAACTGGATGCGGTATCAAGTTGTCCTTCGAGTATACATTGTTGAAAAAGATCTTTAGGTGAGCCGACAATCGAAAACAAATGAGGCCATAATGCTAATTCTGTTTTCCTTGCACAATGAATGACTGTCTGAAGGAATACGGGAAAAGCTCGAATGAAATCGACAACTCGAGGCAATAACGCATCAGGAATGGGCTGTGAACTACTAGCTTCTTCTTCCAACACTCCATGTAACAGGAGTTCTAGAGAATGAACGAAATGTGGCAATGTTGAACAAGTGTTAGCAATCTCCCAAGCTCGATATCCTAGATTGCGACGAAGTAGTTCCCTTAGAATGTAATGTAGATAGACTTGTGATGTTCGTTTGACAACAAAATAGGGTATAACGGAAAACAATTGCTGACTATTATTATGTTGTTGCTGGGATAGCGTCGAGAAATTTGGTTGAGTAAAATCTGATTCAGCACCAAGAACGATGGCTTCACGAAATCGAATCGCCAATGGATATATCGCTGATCCGATTTCCTGAAATGGTAACATGATCCTTTTCGATATGTAGGTATGTTCGTTATCATTATTACTTTTGTTGACATCACTTTTTCTCATTAAAGATGAACCATAAGGCCTTATTGAATGTTCAAGTGAAAGCCAGATAGCCATACCATGACAACCACAAGACAAATAAAGTGATGTCTCTAAATGTGGTCGTAATTGTTGCTGAGATAAAACTTTCATGTTATCACTTTGTTGCGATGATCGTAAGAAAGCCTGCAGTTGAACATCGTCATGTGGAAGAAGCCAAAGATTTTCCACGTTTGAAGCAAGTTTCACAACTTTTTTAAAACGTATTATCTGATTATTATCACTGCCGTTGGTATGAACAGCATTGACGAATCTATTGTTGTTGCTTTTATTGGAATTGCCATTTTGACTATGGTTTATAGTTTGGCCATCAACATCATTATCATCATCTTCATCATCGGAAGAAAATGGCGGCAATTTCGAAGTATCGATGTCCATTTCGAGCAACAAAACTCGGCCACAAATATTGATCAAAATTGAATGTGAACGTGATGATGATGAGGAAGAGGGATTTTGCTTAACAACACGATGACTGATTGATTCATTAAGTGTTGTTGTTGATGACGATGGAATTGATAGTGTGTGATGAATGTTAAAGATTGAACTATTGTACATGTCAACATGAAGATCCGTTAAAAGGCACAATGTAACACAATCGGGAAATATTTCCAAATTATTCAAAATGACCCTAATGGGTGCTGAAATGTTTAGATCATAATCTTGAGAATCCTGATGATGTGAATGACGATGGTGAATGGTCGAATAATGATGGTTACGTTTAAATAAATGAAGATCATACAGATAGATTGTACCATCAGAACAAAGTGCAAGCAATCGATTCTGATACAATGATAGTAATTGCACTTCATGATCAACTGAAAGGATTTTGGCATTCGAATTGTCTAGCTTGTTTCGATGTGAATAGGCTCTGATTTCGGAACTAGAAAACAATAATAATAAATGGTTTGTTTTAAATCGAGTAACAAATCTTACCAATTTTCACTGAGGTTATAACAACCAGCTATTAAATAATCGTAGTACCAAAGGAAACCACCAGTGACAGTAACATCTCTTTCGTGATTTTCATTGCCGAACAATTTCCATCGTCGATGAATTAGAGAATACATAGCTAAGCCGTTAATACCAGCGATAGCAATATTCTGCAACGTTTGATGGTCAATGGCAAACAAACGAATGGGCCAGTTCGTATCCAGATAACTTTGTGGCAATGAAACAGTGATCCATTGAAATGAATCGACAGCATTTGATTCTTGTTCAGATAAAATAACGTTACTTAAAGATTTTTCTTGTTTCAATAAAATCTCGTTGTCGATATTTTTTTCACCACCATCAAATTTTTGATTTTGAGCAATCAACGATGAGTTTTTATTTCCACCGACAAAAATTCGATCTTCCGAAGCCAAAAGAACGGCTTCAAGATTTATAGACGAGCAAGGATTGACGGTTAGAACACTTTTCGCTAATAATAATTTGCACACTCGGTTAGATGATCCATTTGAGTTTTCTCTATAAACGAATGATTAAAATGTGATAAAAATGCAATAAACAAAAACATACCTTTCTACCATCCATAAATGGAATCCTTCCTTGCCAAAGGCAAGGGCTGACACTTTAAAAGGATTTTGATTAAACTCATTACGGATATCAAGCGAATTATACCAAGAAATTGAATAAATGAGTAAAGAACCGAAAACCGACCATAGTGCAAAATCACCATTTTCCCAGATCGTAGCTAAAACTGTTGAATCAGGTGTCCATTGAAGCGAAATAAGGGAACCGAGAATTTTCTCAGCATCGGGGTAAACATTTGGTGGAAGGGTCATTCGGAATGAGATGACAAATCGGCGATCGACTTCATCGAAATCACAGGCAATTGCTTCGGATGAAAGTAATCCGAACACAATGAATGCATATTTATGATTAATGGCTGTACATAGGGCATTATCTATATGGCCGATCATTTGCAAATGATTATATGTAGTCGTCGATGTTTGATCATTTAAAGGCAAAAATGCGCCAAGTCCATTTGAGAAAACAAGCGAAAAACCTCCAATAATAGTTGAATATTTGAAATCAATTATATGATTTGAATGTGATGACGACGGTAGATTTAGGTCGGGTGATTTTTTCGCCATCATATGATGATGATGATGATTTTGAGGCACAGAAATATTGTAATGAAATTTATCATCGGGTTGGCCATTCCATTCGATTCCACTCAACAGGCCAGTTTTGGTTGCAATGACCATCTCCTCTTCAGCTGCCATCATGCTGAAAACAATTACGAAAGTTGCATTAAAACAAGATATAAAACAAACAAGCAGCATACCATGAGATTCCATCATTAATTTTTAAAGAATTCATAAGCTGTATGAATAAACAAGGAACCTTGTTCTCTTCGAGAATCGAATCATTGGCAACGTTATTCCTGTAAAAATTTAGAGTTTTAACTGCAAAAATTATAATTTCATAAACTATTACTTTGGTTCGATGATTGGCATAACATCCTGATCATTTATAATCACTTGATAGAATAGAAGAAAATCATTGGCAGTCTGTATGACAATTTGTGTCGAATCGGAACGCCAAACAGCCGATACGTTTGAGCCATATTTTTTCATTGAATCATTTGTTCTTTCATAATGAACAATTTGAACAGTTGGTCGACAAAACCAAATGGAAAAATGTGCATCAGATAGTAATAAAAACAATGATTGATCGTTGTTGGCCAAAATTGCATCAATTCGATAACATGTCTGATTACATAAATTTAATGTTTGCGGCCATCCGATTGGGAAATACATTTTCTAATTAATGCTTTTATGTTAGAAAACTGCGATGTTAAATAAAATTTTTGAATATCTTGTATTGAAAACAATTTGTAAATTCATAATGTCTCGACAAATTATCATCGTGGATCTATTATCACATTGTTTTCCATTCATTCATCTTGGATCTTTAATTTTGGATCAAAAATTAAAAGAGAACAAGAAAAATTAATCGGAAATCACACATCACAATATAAATATTGATATATACACACTTACCATTTGGATCGTTGCTAGAAAAAAATGTAGCTATTTAAGGAAAGTCCAGAAAAAGAAAATTTCTGATTTCACATTTGAAAGAGTCAATTTTGTGTATTATATTCTCCTGTCCTAAATTCAAGGTACATTCATTAACTCATTAAATGATTGGCTCTTTTTGTTGTTATCATGAACGGCTTTGTGTATTGGATCGGAAAAAACAAGCTCGATCAAAATAACAGTAACCATAAATTGAATGGCAAAAGAAAATATCTTGCCAGACAAGTTATTTTGATAGTTTTTAGCACTTGGAAAATTTTCTTATTCTGGCTGTGGTGTATATGAAATGCTCTACTCAGAAGTCAGCTGTGGCATTTGAAGATTTATCTCTCTTGCAAACTGTGTTTTGGATGTTCTCTGGTTGATTTATTTATATTGATTTGAAGCGTAAAGAAACAATCAGGTCGCAATCAAAATAACGTAATGTTCTGTTCAAATAGTACGTTTTTAATGTCGCGGATATAACTGTACTTTGATCCGTTATTCGCGATTTGCTGATTTGAAAATTTTTTTCTTTTATCCATAATCTAATCGCAAATAAAAAAACCTATCATTTTGATCGCCCAAATAATGCTCAAACCGTTTTAATATGGTTTGTTTGTTTCAATGTAAACTAAAAAAGTATGAAAAATTTTTCCACATGTTTTATGGCTAAAAAAGATGAATGACATGAAAAAAATTTAATCAATTCTTTAAGTAAAATCTATGAAAATTGAGCAAATTTAAATGGATAAAACTTTAAATTTTATGAGTTGCTAATTTGTTCGATATCATTGATAGGTGAAACCTGTGTGGCAATATCGGTATCACAACTATAATCTTTACCGGTAATCGATCGGATCATTCCATTATTATGAACATAATATTTGCAAAAAACATCATTTTTAGGTATATTTGGATAAAGATAAAGAAGAAAATCAGCAGATTTGATCGTATGTGAAACGGACATTTTTTTTAATCGATCCAAATCCCATGGTAATAGTTTGTCAAATTTTCTGTTCTGGACATAAGCAACGGTGATGGCACCGCAAAATGTTTCGCTGAATCGAATCAAAAATGTGCCATCTATACATCCTTGCAGTAGTTTCTCAGACATTTCTGACGAAATGAATCCATGAATGAGACCATCGGTATACATTTTTTTGAGGTAATCACGAACCAGAATAAGAATCTTGTAGAACCATTCGAAAAATGTAAACTGCCTCATCGGTAATGGTGTTTTGGCAAATTGTTCCCAAGTTATCAAATCTTTATTATATTCATTACCGTTCGGTATCATTGTGCGAATAAAATTCAAATGTTCCTGGCTTAGATAGACGCCTACATCTTTATGAAATTTTTCATTCAAAACGATGGCCAGTTCGGACCATGCAACCGATGTACGGGTTTCAAACATTTTACGATTATCTACTGCAAACGCATTATCCCAGATGATTGTTGCATATGAATTACGATAATCTTTACGACTAAGTACATTTACTGGCAATGAAAATGTCTGCCAAGTCACATATGAAAACGCAAATAAAAATCAAGATAAAACAAAATTCTTCTGCTAACAATTACTTACATGCAATGTAAATTTCAGCCCCGGAAAATCAATGCCAAGCCAAAAGATGAATTTGAATTTATTCTCTGTCACTGGTATGGCTTTTGGATTATGACCACGACGATTGATGTCCACTTTAAGGTTGCATGTAATCATAATGGTCAAGATTTCATTTTCAATGTTCAATATTGGTTCCACTTTGTTGATTATGTTAAATGATGATTTTCGAAGTCGAATCGCATCTAGTCCTTCATTCATAACTAAACGGATTTCATCTTCAGCTAAAAGTCGCATATCCAAAGATTCGAGCCATTTCTTGCAATTATTGGGTAACTAGAAAATGATTGTTTACCTTAACATGACAGATTTTCAAAAATTGGTCTTACCAATTGATAGCTAAAGAGTAGACCGATTTTCACCTCAAACTTTGCATTAGAAATAATAGTCAATGGATCGTGTTTCAGAATATTTGAACATGGTTGCTCTATAACTACGAATGCATTCTGCAGCAATGATTGTAATTGATGTCCGATTTCCTGTGAGAAATTCGAAAACCATTCATTATTACACATTTCATTTACCGTTAAAAAATTTAAATAGAATTTGATGATGAATGTATTGCATCTTTGAATATCATCAAAAATGGACATATCAATTGTTCCGACAATAATTGATTTTTGTTGCGAACGTTTCCATTCATTCAACAGGTGTATGATGTTCCATTGAATCTTTATGATTTCTGAGATGATTTGCTCCATATATTGATACAATTGTTGATATGGATGACAATGTTGTTGTCGATATATTTCATCGAAATCTCTAATCAATTTATTCAACCCATTTGCATATTTGATTAGGTCAGTTTTTTGTGGTTCATATGCCATTTTTCATCAGAGTAGACACGTATGAGGATTTAGATTCGTTATATGAGATATCCACATAATTATCAAAATTTTATTGTAATTGGCACTAGAAACGACATTGCTACATCATGTGAAAGTCATTATATCATGAGCCATAAAAAATTTATTACAAGTCAGTATTTATTTGCATTTTAATCTTTAAAATTCTAGAAAAATAATTTTATCAAAACTTGTTATCGAATTAAATGTATGTTTGTCATCTGGGGTGAGGAAAATTCCATCACGCTCTGATAAAATTGCCATCATACCAGATTCTTTTGCTGCTTTGGCTTCTATTGAATTTATCAAACACTGAATTAAGAACAAACATTCTTTGGATAATAATAACCAACCTTTTGGGACGTCCGTAAGGAAGACAATGTCAGTTGCAGATGAACCTACTTTCTCGGTAATCAATCTGTAGCTATCGGTTGATTGCTTTGGGCCAATGTTTGTATCAAAATAATACGAAATGAACTGAATGAACAAAATTTGGGAAATGATAAATAATGTCACTATTATAGTTAATTAGGTTTAATACTGACAGGTGTCAAGTCTCCGTGAATGCTATGTGAAAACAAAAGTTTTTGAGCCAATACACTTCCAGAGGAGTAGATTCCAATTTTAACATTGAATTTTGAAGTCCATCGACGAAAGCATCGAGATACATCGTCATAAACACTAATAAGAATTCGATTAATTAAATGTTATGAAATGAAAACTTACTGTCCGAGAATTTGTCCAGTATTGTAGCCATTTTCCCAAACATGACCTTGCAATTGCTTCAATGGTCCAACTTTTCGATCATGATCCATCAACCAATCGACATAGACGCAAACGGTATCAATGTCGAAAGAACAATTATTGCCAATTCTAAGATCAAACAGCTGATCATCGATCATATCCTTTTGATATTGTTCGAATAAAAGCTTTATATCGTTTCGAGTAGTGTCTGTGTCCCAGGTTTCAATCAAATAATTACGAAGTTTGGCACGAACATAAGGAAATAGTTTTTCTTTAACGAATGTTATTGCTGTGGTTGTACCTTCGATATCACATAGGATGATCTTGGGTCGTTTGATCTTTACTAAATTTTGATTTTCTTCAGCCATCATATTTGAAAAATGTGCAAATAAGGAGCATAATTGAACTGAACATGGCAAAAAAAACATTAAAGATGATCCAAAGTTCAATTTCGATTTTTCCAAGTTAATATGTTGCAAGTTTCAACAACACAAAAGAAATTCAGGTCTTTTAAAGGTAATAATCAATTATTTCTTAAATTTTATTAATTAGACAAATTGGCTGAAAAATGTGTAAAAATAATAACAAATTTACAGTCTTCCTCCCAATTATTTATGAGTGTGTGTATGTATTGACAATGAAAATATTTAGACTTAGAGAGACGCGACCATGGCCAGAATTTATATTCATTTTTAAATTATCCACCGGCTGCTGCAACATGGCGACGAATGAAAAAGAGTGTAGCCAAAATAAGAGCCAATATGGTTGCAAAATATAGGTCCCAATCTTCGCCAAGATAATTATCAGCCAAATATGATCCAAAATTGATTGGCGTATACAATAGATCTTTGAATCCAAAGTTTTTGATGTGATCATAAAAATAAATAAAAAATAATTTGGTCAAGGCAAGCGCAACTGGAACTTGAGCATCGGTAGATGTGACGGCAGCCAAATCATAATATCGTTTAGCTAGGTAAATATCTCGTTTTAGACCTAGACCCGTTTCATACATATAGCCTAAATTAAATAACGCTTGGGCATTGTTTTGTAATTCTGATGCTATCCGATATTGATTGGCCGCCATTTCATAATCTACTTTTGTACCTAGGCCATAGTAATGATAATCGCCCAATTTGACTCGTGCTATTGAATAGCCTTGCGATGCTGAACGGCTCCAATACATAAAAGCACGATTATAGATTTCATGTTTATCAAAAAGGTCTCCAACTTCATCCCGATCCAGCATGAAAGCTGCGTTGCTTTGAGCCACTTCATAGCCAAGTTCGGAAAGAACGGCATATTTGATGAACGCATTTGAGCGGCGACCTTCTTTATAATCGTTGTGTGCCTGGAAATATATATTCACATCAATTTGAGATTGCATACTTTTTTAACCTACCTCCATGATTAAAGTTCCCCATTCGCCGCGTTCACATACAGATTTGAAAAGTTCCACAGCCGTAGAACAAGATTGTAGAGTACCAGTGCCCGTTGCTTGCATTTCGGCCAAATGATAAAATGCAATTATATGTCCTGATTGCAGGGCCATTTTGAAATATTCAATAGCCGCTTTGTAATCCTTTGAAACACCATAACCATTAAGATACATTATACCTAGATATAGCTGACCATCTACCCAGCCTTGCATAGCGGCAGCCGAAAAATATTTCAATGCCAATTTAAAATCTTTGTTCACACCACGTCCATAAAGATACATTATTCCTAATCCACTTTGACCAATCGGATTCTCTTTATCTGCGGCCATTTTGAAATATTTCATTGCTTTTTCATAACTTTGTTCTACAACTTTGTTTCCCTCTAAATACATCTAAAATGAAAAATAGTTTTTTTTTATATTCGACAAGGAATTAAATATGATCAAGTTACCTTGCCCAGGTAAGCCATCGCATTAGTGTTGCCTGATTCTGCAGCCATTGTGAAATAATGAAAAGCTCTGTATTGATTTTGTGCAACACCACGTGCACCCTGAAAATGTAATTGGCCAAGACCAACCTGGGCACTGATATCGCCTTTATCTGCCAAGAATTGATAATACTGTATCAAATCATCATCAAGTGTACCAGGATAAGAGCCCGAATTATCGGTTTCGTCTTGGATTCGAATCCGTTGTATGGATGGATTATTTGAAAATGTATAGCTTTGCTCAACAACTTTGGCAACTTTACGATAATAGGACAAAGCGAATTGACAATTAGATGCAACACTTATCCCTGACCAATAACGATAACCAAGTGCCATCCGAGCATACGTATGATTCGAAAGCGATGCAAACGTATAATACAATAGTGCTTTTGCTTGATTAGCCTTCACTGGTGGCAACCCAATGGCATACATAAATCCAAGATACTGTAAAAATGTAATAAAAAAATCATTAAAAGAAACTATAAAAAAAACATTTCATACCAGATGCGCTAAACTATTTCCTGTGACAGATAATTCCTGAAAATATTCAAAAGACGTATTCAAATCAAGTAGAGGATTACCATAAAAATAAGCGATGGCCAATTTTAACTTTGCTTCATCGTTGCCTTTTTTGGCTAATTTTTTTAATGTCATAACAACTTCTTCAGGTGATTTGTTTTCAATCAATTTATCAATATCGACAGTTGGCGAATCAAATTTATTATCATTCAATTGTTGTGATTCGCTTGTTGTTTTTTCCTTGGATTTTTCCTGGTCACCAAACGCCGAATCATTGACAACAGTATCAATGTTCGAAGTAGAAGATATGGATGGTGGAGATTGAGCTACTTGGTGATTACTATTATCATCACTGGCTGAATTGAACACATTTTTTTCATCGGCATCATTATTAGCCGGTACAGCTGATCTATCGACGGTGATATCCGTTTGTTCGTAAGGACTGTCCGTTGTAGTTGGATTATCGACGGGTGATTCTTGATCGTTGAATGAATCATCTGTGGCTGCTGAATTTGATGCTGTTTGTGGCAGCTGACAATGTGTTACAAAAATGAATGAAAAGAGTACAAAAATCACAATTATGAGTTTCATCATTATCAAATTCGGATATTTTTATGATCCATAGGATCGATCTGATGTTGGTGGCAATATCGATTGTTTATTAAGCAACAATAGAACATTGTATTGTATTGTAGCTATTTCTTTAATACATTTGTTGTGTCATGATTTGATTATAATCCTAATAAAAGCAATAAGATTAATTTATTTATTGTGAGAAATAAAATGCAACTTCGATATAAATTACGTTCAATCAAACAGTAAAAGATTTCACAAGATATTGTTGACAATAATGAAAAATTCGGTATGAACTAATGATTATATTGTAGAGACAAATTCTTGTGTAAAATTAACAATCAAAATTGATGATGATTGAATTATCAACAAAGTGAAAAACAATTACGTGTAGTAGTCACATTGTTTATGGAAAGTTTCTAAATTCATTCGCAATATAACAGATATACCAGAGCTTCTCAAACTGGGGTCCATACCCACAGGTACTGGTCTTTCATCATTTCGAACAAATTATCAATGTTCCACGTTCCAGCCGATCTTCGGTCGAAAAAGTTTTGGAAACTCTGGCAAACTATTTAATGATAAATCATAATTTTTAAACTATTTAGACGTAACCGGTTTGTTGACGTAGATTAGGAATAAATAAAGATTCAATTTCCGCGAACAACGTTCGATTTCAAATATATCAGTTTTAGTTTGGGTATTAATGAAATTCGTTATGGCTAGCAGTAAAAAAGACCAAGATTACGAAACGCTTATTCGAAAAATTTTTGAATTCAAATGCGAAACAAACCTGCAAGAACATCGAAAAAAATTGAAAGATGATCCCACAATTGAGCTCCGAGAAAAAATGCGTAAAAAAGAAGCAGAATGGGAAGCCAAACTGTTAGAAAAAGATGCCGAATTGAAAAGAGTCAACAAAGGTAATGATCATTGCATTCAAAGTAATTTTGACTAACTTATTCAGAATTTAGAATTCAACAATTTTTTGATAGGACATTTTCAAGAACAAAATAAAATTTTTAACAATGTTCGAAAACAATTAATCAAAGCGATTCCAGTGGCCGAAAGAGATCTAAGAAATTTACAACGAGAAGAGCAAAAACTGATTTTATTGACGGAAGATAAGATGCGAAAATTCAATTTGCAACAACAGCTGTTGGTTGAAGAGCTGCAGAAAAAATTGAACGATGAAGAAATGACTTGGGTCCACGAATTTATACGTGATTGGGATGAACAAACAGAAAACATTGTTCGAATGGTACAATTTTATAACTATTTTTGAATTTTTTTTTTAGATTTAATTTTCCACAAATGATAGATGCAAAATGGTGCTGAGATTAGTCCAATCGACTTGAATCTTTCGTTTGGCTCATGGCCAGAAACTGCCATCATTGAACCGGTATTTAGTCATAAAACAGAAAAAACGAATGAGATCAGTACAAGTCATGAGGAATTGGCCCCATCAAAAAATAAACCACTTACGACTACAATTGAGATGGTCAAGCCAAAAAAATCGGTGAGATTTTCAAACATTTTTGAACCAGAACATCAACAACAGGACACAGATGAAGCTGAAAAAAAATTTTTTGATGAAAAATTATTTGACATGTCCAAAACTGATGAACTATTCAACGAAAAAATGGAATTTAATTTCGATGAAGATAATAGCTTATTGAAAAAAAATATGTCTGTAGATTTGAAAGACAATTTTAAGTCTGATTTTGAATTCAATTTCGAACAATCAATCGAGGAAACAAACGATAATGGCACAGATAATTTCATGTTCAACTTCAACAGTATGGATGAAAGCTAAAATAGAAAAGCAGTTGAATTAATTTCAATTTATCATTAATTCTATTCACTTTACTTACCCAAGATGAAATTAATTCCAACATAATTGATAGTAATTCATAATTCATAGCCAATAGAGTAATTATATGTAAATCAAAATCAAAATAATATAATTCTCTAGTTGTGTAATAATAATAATAAAATTACTCTATTATAACTTTGATTTGATGTCTACTGTTAACATCAGTGTGAATTTAACTCTCATGAATTTATTAGAATGAAAAATTTATATGTACACTTAACATATTTACAAATAATACACACCCATCCATTTATAATCCAATTTAAATATCATTCTTTTGACATGGGTTGACCTGAAAATGAAAAATTATTTTTTTTTTTTTTGTACACAATTTGATTTTTTAGTTCCGAATATGTCAGGAATAGGAAACTGATAAATCCATTTATCAATCAATCACAATCAATCAATCAGAATAGAAATATGATCAATCATTTGAGGATAGAGAGAGAGAGAGAGAATATATTGAATAAATGGATGAATTTTTTTTTTGCTTGGGTCGGAAAAGTCCAAATTCAATGATCCAAAGATTTGTGTGTATCAGCAGTGACTGATACAAAGACGCAAACCTAAATAAAAGGATAAAAATATAATGGGCAACATTGAATTTAGATTCAATGTATCAAATGGAAATTTTGTTAAAGTCAAGCCTGAAGAGATATAAAACAATATATATAATCAGTATGAGATTGAGAGAATGTGCCAGCAGTGAATTCATTTCGAAAATCTCTTTTATTATATTTAAGAATATATGAAAGAATCAAACATACATCATGGATCATTAGAATATAAGCTAGAATACTTTAAATGTTTGCCGTTAATTACAAATGATAGAGAGAGAAAATTTCTTATCATTAATCATTGAATAGGGAAAAAGAAAAGGAGAATAGTAGAGGTTAAACTTTAAGTTCAAATGTAGATGTGATCAAATCGAATCAAATTTAAAGAAATAATGGAGGGGAAGTGAATATATCCGAAGCGATAAAAAATTAATCGGATTGATTAATTTTTTATAAATCAAAGGTAATTGATACTTCTTCCTCCATAATTTTCGGCATTCTGGAGAATGAAAACAAAAATTAATAATGATCCATAGATGAGAGATAATATTGATACGAAAGTGACAAATTAAATGAGCTTTGATTTTGACTTGACTTTCTTCATGTAAATTTTTAAAATATTCGATTAAGTTAAAAATCAGAATATTCTTGTGTAATTTTGCTAATATAAATTCCTTAAGTGTGTTATTGTGTGAATCAAGAACTGGTGAGAATTCTTGATCATCATTAACAGGAAAAATTGATAAACGAAAAAAGAACAGGACGATGAGATTTTCTTTCTTCATCAAAGTGTTTGTGACCATTTAAATCCAAGAAAAAAATAGCATTCAAATGTAATGTCTAAAGTCTTCACTCATATTCGTCCGTATATAATGAATGCATGAAGAATTAATAATGTTATAAAATGAGAATGTGGTTGTGGTCGTAGAATAAATTAAAAAATTAATAGGTCATTAGAAGATTCGATAGCACACACATACATACAAACTGTTAGAACTTAATAATAACCGACATATTTGTTCGGGTTATTCATTGGGCCAGCACCGGCAACACCACCACCATAAGATCCATAACCACCAACCTGAGGAGCCATTTGAGGGCTACCATACATTTGTGGTTGCTGTGGTGGCATTGGACTGCCAACGGTAGCACCACCACGCTGTAGTCCACTTTTCATCTGATTACGATTCTGATTATATTGGCTATAATTCTGTGTTGGTGATTGATACATTGGTTGTACGTTTGATCCAATTGGACCAGTGTTGTAAAGACCACTACCAGTACCACCCATAGCTTGTCTATTATCATAGTACATATCACGAGAAGGAGGCATAGGTGATGGTAAGTGGCCACCATTTCCTAAACCACCGCTGCCCATAGGAGCTTGTGGGGCAGGTGGAGTCTGTGTATAGTAGGATGAATAATTAATCGGTGATTGATGATGAGGTGGTGGTGGTGGTGGTGGGTAAGATTGGTATTGATTCATTGGTGGTGGTGGTGGCCCATAGTGATGCATTGGCGGTTCTGGTGGCATCATCGAATAATTCCGCATTGGACGATTAAAACGACCACTGTTACGATTACGCATACGATTATTGTTGTTCATTTGATTATTCCCATTCGAATAACGATTATTATTTTGGTTTCTTCGATTATTCTGATTTTTGTTATTCATGTTGTTGTTTTGTTTCTGCTTGTTGTTTCCATTTTGGTTATTACGATTACTGCTGAAATTTTTCTTTCGATTTTGTTTCCTCTTGCTTTTCTTGGCCGTCGAAGTAGAAAGCTATAATAAAGTCAATTTGGGAATTAGCTGAATTAAGAAAATCAAACATTAAATTAAATTGACGTACCTGCACAGAAATGGTTGATCCATTGAAATTATGATTGTTCAATTTTTCCATAGCCACACGAGCTTCTTCTTTGTCTTTCATGTGCTAGTCATGGAGAAAAATCAAGACAAATTCAAGCCTGAAATGACAGAACATACCACAAAGCCATATTTGCCGACAATATCACAATGGGTCACTTGACCATATGTGGAAAATAACTCTTTCAATTGATTCTCTTTGGTTCCGGAAGGCAAACGACCCACAAACAATTTTGATACTTGCAATTCACCACCATTAGCATTGGAATTTGTGCTGGCATTTTTAGCATCATCTTTTTTATCTTCAACGGCATTGTTATCTTTCACTTCGGCCGATGATTTATTGTTTGTTGCAGATTGATCATCGGTGTTAGTCTCTACTATCTGTTCGACAGGCTGAAATGATTCGTAAATATAAAATACTATAATAATCATATAATTATTACTAACCGTTTCTTGTTTGATTTCAGCCATGTCAGATCAGACTTTTTATAATAAATTGATAGATATATACTACTGTTTTGCACCAGTAAAAAATAAAAATCAATTAATGATTTGAACAGTTAAACACAATGCTATTTGAAAAATTGAGCAACAAATCGAAAAGGAAACAAAAGAGCCGAAATCGATTTTACCTACAGTATACACTGATCAGCAGAAAGAACAAAGAACTGATTGTCACAATTGATAATGGAATACTAGTGGCATTATATAAAGAGAATATTCAAATTCATTTATGGTAGCAGTCATTTTATTCTACTTAATAAATGCCGCTGATCAATGTTATAAAAAAGGAATAATACGACTACTACTGTGGTTGATATATTTTACAATATACACTCTACAACACAAGCAACACAAGTAAATTGAGTGGAATCTACCGCCATTACAATATATTTTTATGAAACTTTTTCATTTTGAGTTTTACGAATTTTCATTCGAGAAATTTTCCCAAACAAAATGAAACACTTGTTTTATACACAGATATACAATTAATATGATAGAAATTTTTATCACATTAAATTTTTTCCTAAATCTTTTAGAAATTATTTATCAATATTTATCATATCTGATCTGAATTGATCTCGAACATAATCATCAATCGAATTTCAATTTGATGATTGTAAAATTTCAGGAACGAACCTAATAAGAAAAGATAGACCAATCTTTATTAGATATGAAGAATGAATATGTCGACTTACCGAATAAGTTGTTCCGACAATTCAATCCAATGCAGGCCTTTGAGAAATGTAAGTTTTAGAATCATTGATTGATAGCGAAATTTCAAAGTTACCTGATGATGAACATGATGTTTCATTGGAAATTGTACCATGTTAGTGACCAGATATCCACCAACAAATTTGTACTGTTCGGCATCATTACCATGATCGTTTTTATAAAGAAGGCTTGAGCCATATGATTCTAATGATCGTATTGATCATCAATGAAAAATTTTAATAGCCTTCAAAGAGACAAAGGAAAATGTTGTTACATTTTCAAATTCAACAAAGGCAAATGTAATTACCTCATTGACATGTTTTCATATATGAATCCAGATTCCAATTATCATTACATCAATTATAATAATGGACTCTGAAAAAGAAAACTTGAAAAAGATGTGATTGAATACAATTTGACGAAAAACAAACGATAATCATAAAAATACATTCGAAAGTCATCGAAAATGGAATTTTTCAAGCTAACTTGAATCATGATTACATGATGACCGAACCAAACGATCTAAATCGATTTCGGGGCAATTTTGATCTTAGACCACAATAGAAAGTTTTAACAAAGATAATCTTGAATCGATTAATTTCTTTGTTCCAAAATTTACTGCAAAAATCCACGATTAAAATAGAAAAAAATATCACGACATGATCACGAAAAATAGCTCAAAGTGAGGACAACCGTCTTCGACGACCGTTGAATTCGAATGTTCGATTTTTCCAACGATCAAATTCAAATTTGTATGGGGAATAGAAGGGAAAAGAAGCGCGCAGCATTTGCATTGAAAATAGTTAGCTGCACTACTTCTATTTGACTATGCGCAGTTGCTCATTAGTTGGACTTTTTGAGTTGAAATTTTTGGCGGCATTTTTGAATGCATGGTTTTTGTCGTAGACTTGGCATGAAAAATGAATACAAAATCAACTCATGATATGATAAATATCATCATATCAGAAATGCATAATTGATGAAAAAAAATTATAATGTAATTTCAATGGAAAGTAAAAATTGACCTTTATCACATGTTGATGAATAGTGATTTGAGCCAAAGAATTTTCACCACTGTTTGAAAAAAATTGGTGTCAATTTGTCAGGATTAATTGATTGTTGGACTGTTATTCCATTCAAAGTCGAGCTATTTATTTATTTATTCAACAAAAACCTCAAAGATAGGGGAAGAAAATAAATTATAAATTTTTAAAATCATATTTAAAGAATTATAGCCAAATACATCAATTCTCTTCATGTAGATTTACACCACATCAATTTTCAATTAAAGTTCGTTCAGCAACAAATAAACAAATCAGATGAATAGAACTTTGAACACAAATTACCACAAAAACAAGACGACTTATAACGATAGCCAATTTTATGCAGGTAAACAATGAATTTTCCATGTCTCGATAAAAACTGAGTGAACACAAAATGTAGATCAATAAGAATTATTTTACGATCATATACAGATGAAAAAATTTTTTTAGTAACTTTGCCATCTTCACTCATTATCCATCTTATATTATAAATCATGATATTTTTCAAAGGATATAATGAAATGAATGAGAATGAGATGGTACCCAGTGAAAACAAATATATCAATTCTGAAAAATGTTTGGTTTTTATGAGACCGAAATAATGACCAACAAAATTGAATCAAAGTTGAATTATATGTGTGATGTTGAAATCTATCCAGTGACAATCGAGAAAATGGCAAGTCCAACAACTAGAATTGAATCAATAAAACTCGACGATATCAATTGTATCATGATGTACTGCACATTTTATTCTGTATTATTATTCAAGTAAAGCCATTTTTTTCATCCTTATATCTAAAAGTATAGTAGTTGTCCGCTGGATGCCAGGTCTAACAGACGAATATAGACAATCGGCCAACACATTATATACATTGATGGAGATGTAGAAATCACATTTAAACAGATCCAACAACAATCTCTATACACAAAATCAATGTGTATGAGTGAAATTCTCTGCATTGCAGAAGCGAATGAAAAAAAAACCTGCCACCGCTATCGTCCACTATGGTTCAATCATCATTGATTCTATGCAATTCATACACAAACAAACATTCGACTATCCCAAAATTCAATTATTATGTGCATCATCATCTATTTTGTTTTTGTGTTGATGTTCGGCTGATTTGTTTCTTTATCGACATTTTTTCATAATTGTTCCATTATATATACTCCTTTATTGATGGGCATGAATCAACACAAATGACAAACGTCAACAAATCAAATCATATGTTTTAGTATTATGTAAATTCGTCTTTTAAACTCAAGTTGACCATTTATTTCACGACTTTTTCTTTAGTAAGTTTGATGAATATGACCTTTCTGTCTTGTAAAAGCTGAAATACATTTATTATTTAAAGAATAAAGAAATACCTATCAATCATTTGAAGAAATAATAATCGCCAAAATAACTTCATTTTTACTTTCAATATGAAAAATGAATCAAATTTTCGAATAAAAACCGTTTTTGTTTATGATTTTACTATCTTTCATTTTTTTTTCGCAAATCTATTTTTGTTATATCATTCAATTTTTTTTTGTAAGAGCCTTTTCACGATGCATCAATTGTCAATTTGATATTCTCGTCCATTCAATCTTTTTCCGTTTCTCTTTCAATAATTTCATTACAATGTTTACTTTAAAAAAACTTGTTTCATTCATATTTTTATCATGAATGTCATGTTCTTTCATATAAAAGCTAAAATTTCGAAATATTACAATTCATGTCACAATATGAATAGTGGAACTGATTTTTGTGACTTGTTTCCACTTTTTCAACGTGTCATTGTGTATTATCACATTCAAGGTTGATAGTTGCTGTTGAGCAATTGTTCCAACATTAAAAAGGAAAAAGAGAAATAAAAACTTTTATTATCAAAACGATGTAACCAGAGAAAAAAGAGAAACATAGATTATTATGAAATATTCATAAATATGTGATATTTTCATATAGCGTTATTTTCATAAAAATGACCTATGATTTAGTTTTCATTTGCTAAAAAGAATCAATCTCATCAGTACAGATTCATCATTGGTTTGTTTGTTTATTAATAATTAGTCACAGAGAAAAAAAAATTGTCATGGTTTCCATGATTTTAGGTTTAGTTTGTCAATTTTATTATATCTAATTAAATTTGATCGATTTTTTTTCGGATTAAACATAACACATTTTTTCCGATGTGCAAATTGAACACAAACGACACACATTTAAGGACCAAGAAATAGTAGAAGTTGAATTTTTTTTCCATTTCATTTCAATTCGAACAAGTGGTTTAAAAGTATGTGAATACATGCAATAGACATCGAATTTTATTTTTAGCCGATAAAAAAAAACTCGATTTTTTTTACTACTTTGATTTGATCTTTTCAAACCAAACAAGTTGTTCAACTGTAAATAGAAAAAAAAACTATCGCCAAAACAACGATTTCATTTTTCATTCCTTTTGGTCTCTCTCATTTTTTTTTTTTTTAACAAATCAAATTTTATTCATTGCAAAGCCAAGTTTTTTCGGTTATTCTATGTATGTGTTTGTTTGTAATGTCCTATTTTTTTTCATAAATTCACACTAATCTATCTTATGGTTTTTTTTTCATTTCATTTGATAATGTTCCAGTTGGTTTTAATTTCAGATTTGATTTTCAATTTCAATTTACTAATGTAAATTTATAAAGATTTGCCGAATTAGAAATAGCTTAATTAGATGAAGAGTGATGGTACTTTGGTTAGAATGCAAAAAAAAAGAGAAGGTACGGTGAAAAATAACTATGACCGATGTTTACAGTTTTAATTGATTTTTTCCGTCCTATAAAAAAATGATGTGATGATTTGAAAATGGTAAACCTATGATGATGATGATGATGATGAAAATACTAACACAGAAATTAGAGCTATATGTTGCTAGAGATAATGATGAATGATTTAAAAAATACATTTAACATCATTTAATCCTTGTCAACAGATAATTTTTCCATTTTAAAGAAAACACATCTAATCTTTTTTTTTTTTTTTTTTTTTTTTTTGTTTTATTTATTGAACACAGCCACCATAGCAATGATGATGATAAATAATTATGATCAGAATTTTTGTAATTTATGTAGGTGTGGCATCATTGCATCCGATTTTTTTGCAGATCACGATTTTTTTTACCTTCTTATAGTTTGCATACAAAAGAAAAATATTGATACATTCATCAACCAATTGTTGATTCAAAAAACAAGAAATTTAATTGATGTCCAAATGATTTAAATCCACGCATTTTATTCCAATGCACGATTTATTCGAATTTTTAACATTCAGATTGTTAACGGGTTAACCTTGTGTTCATTAATCGCGGTAGGCAACAATTATAAAACCTCGTTTTTTTTACTCGTTACGGTAATTCATCCGGGAAGTCATTTTTCATTCTTCAATTTTGTATTCGATTTATGTTTCTATATATGCATGTAATAAGCTATTTGTACTGTATATACAACGAATCGAAAGTGTTGACTATAAATGCAAATACAACAAATATCTGTAGGTTTATGTTCCTGGCCAATGAACCCGTTTATCGTTTGAATGTTTACCACATTATCATCTACATCAATAATCTATTATTATTAATTATTGATTTTATAATGACTGATGCAGTTTTGTGTAGCTGCGTAATTCTATAAAATATTTGAAAAAAATGATCTACCTTCGTTCAAAGGATCAATGTATCGACCCATCGAACATCATTATCATCATTTTATCATTAAAAAAATGAAATAATCGTCAGTTGATAATTTTAGTCAACATTCTTCCTTGTTATTTTTTTCCCCGGTTGTCGGTTAAATTGAATGGTTCGATCTGATCTTTCGATGTATCAACCATACAACTTCAGCTTTACCCCTTTGGCATTATCTGAAACGATACTTGTAAATTATGTTTGTTTCATCCTTGTCCATTCATTTATGGATCAAACTTTTTCTATTATTTTCACAAAAAAAATCACCAACATCAACCGATTCAATCCAAAATTTTAGATGATTGAACCCGGTAGAAATAAAACAAAAAAAAAACTAGCTGGATTGTTTCATCTCATAAATTGTAGCCAATTATTATTATACTAGTCGGTCTCTGACTCTTTTTCTACAACTCTTCTTTAATAATTTTTTTTTTTTTTTTTTTGATTATGGATTGAACGAATGAATTATAATATATGTATGTATTCGTCTCTTCATCCTGTTACGTGTTCGAATGTTGTGCATATAAAGTCAACTAGTGGTTGTTTCGTATTACATTTATTGGCTTTCGGTTGATTTGATGATAATTGAATCCAGTTGAACAAGGTATTACTTGGCTTCTTCTATAACCACACATGCATAAAAAAATAAAATAAAAATTTGTATCTTGTCTCTTTATTTTTTTTTTACTTGCATATGACTGCTGGCTGTTAGTCTGATCTTACCTGTATGTTCACTTTATCATTTGTTTAGTCATCATCAATCCTTATGCATTCATCCATTCATTCATTCATCCTGTCAGGGTCTCGTTTATGCTTACATTGGCTTTTGACGTTCATGTCCATTTCATTCTTCTTGATTTTTCATGTGTGTAATGGAAGACTTTTCCTGTTTTATCCTATCCGTAGTCGTAGCATCATCGCTATTGTTGTTCTTGTATTTGAAAATATTCATTCAATCACATAAACATTGAGTGACACCAAAATGTACACACACACACACACACACAAAAAGGAGGTATTTTAATGACGACAACGTATGAAATACAGAATTGTTCATTCTATTCCTACCTGGTTGTCGTAAAATCATCATTTATGTGATGAGTCATATTGATCATCTGTGTTTGAAAGTTTGGTTTTGAAAAAATCAATGATCCAGTGGTAAATCGACATTAACATTGATGTTCATCTCAAATTCATCCATATTATTATTTTTATGTTTGTGTATGTGTGCGTTTATCTCAACTTTGTGACAATTCAATTCATTGCAAGAAAAAAGAATGTTTTCCAAATATTCAAATATACGGATTTCTAAGAATTCTTCATCAGCAGTGGAAAATGTTTCATTAAATCTGACCAAAGGTATATCAGACGTTTCTAGGTCTTTTTTACATCCAAATTTGATAAATTTGATGGCCCTTCATTGATATAATATTCACTGTTATCATGCCAAGACATTTTGTTTTTGCATATAAGATCAATGAATTCAATATTGACAGCAGTTTTTCTCTGTTTTTCGCCCTAATGATCATGATCATTAATATCAACCTACGCCTACCCCAATATGGCTATTGAATTCAATGAAATTATAGCGTTTTTTGATGATCATTTAGATTTTTTACCATTTACAATTACGACACAATCAATATTTCCATAATTATCCATTTTATGACCTTTAAATGATTATATTTTTGAAATATTTTCAAAATTTTTATTTTTTTATTTTTGTTTGCAGAATCATTTTATCCACCTTTATCCTTCATTCAAAAATCTGATCCACATCGTTCATTCATATCAGCCAGATTTGAAATTACTGATGATTGTGAAACCTCGCCATTATCATCAACATTAGTTGGATGTTGTTCATCAGGATCGGAATGTTGTTGTTCACCATCACCATTGGTACCAACAAAAGAAGCATTGACCAGCTGTTCTAATCTTAATTCATCATTTCAATCCAATTTTTATGATAGCCATAATAAATTCATTATGACCACCGATGTGACACCGACGATGGCAATGACCACATGTACCAATGAACAATCGCCATCATCGATAACAGCCAGATTTAGCGATCCGTTGGGTTCGCCTCCAACAGTTTCGTCTGGCTTTTCAGATGATTATTATTATGGTCCATCATCGGGTGAATTTTCATCATCGGCAAATGGTGATTCCATGTCCATAAATCCACCGCCGTTATCATGTAACGATAATAATTATTGGGCACTCATTTCTAAAAATGATAATTTTCAATTGAAACTTGAATCTCGAGAAAATTTTGTCTGTTTCATTGGTTCTGATTTTGTTCTTCGACAACAAAAACAAATACAATCATCAAGCAACAAAAAAAATAAAGACGATCATCAAGCAGTATTGATTTATGCCAGCGGATCATTTCATCTTAAAGATCTTGATTCGAAATTCGGTGTAAGTAATCTGATATAAAACAAAAATATTACCGTATCACTGTAATATAATATAAATTAACGAACATAAATCTTATCTTGAAAATCTTGTTGTATGTTGAACTTTCCTAGCCTCATTATCCTTATACAATAATAATAATAGATCACATCTTATATTGACATAGTAAGATATTTCCGGTGTCAATATGGTTATTTTTTTGTTCTCTTGACCTTTTTTCTTTCTCTTTCTCTCTCTCTCTTTTTACTCTAGATTATTTTTTCACATGTTGACTTCTAGGTCTCATTTATTTATGATTACCAAAAATAATAATAATCACCAACATTTTTATTGATATTTTTTCTTACTATCATATAGTTTGATTATCATCACCTTTGCTTGCTTTGTTGATTTTCTCAATTTTGCTCTTAAATGGATTTTTTCAATCATATACATGTATTAAGTTTGTAGTTTGGAGCTAATTTTAGCTTGTTCTTATCACCTTTGATGATGATGAATATGATTTCGATCTTGTTAATATTTAACTTCTAGATATATTGTCTACATCATCAAACTCTTTTATTTTGAAGAAAATTTTTTTCCATCGTTCCGTTGCACAGATTAGGTGTAGGTGGTTTTTTTATAATTCATTCGAATCCGTTTATCTATCTGTTCTCGCTTGTCTGACAGGATGACGGATGCAAATAAATTGGATTAAAAAAAACGATTTATGTTACCACATCAGTATATCTATGTATGCGTTTGATATCTTCATTTCCTTAAATTCATTGCACTCCATATTCGAAATCAAAATCTTTCTTTGTATGAAAATGATGTAACATTTTATTTTTTTTTCTTTCAATATAGACATTTGTAAATGAACTTCGTGTACGGTCTCGTAGTTTCATACGTTTGAATATTGATGATGAAATTCGTTTTGGTTTTGGTCCGGATATTTATCAATTAAAACATTTACCATTGAATCAAATCAATTGTAATCACAGCCCACACATTCAACGAGTGAATATCAATAAAGATGATGAAAACCATTATCGATCGACAACGCCTTTAACAACAATGAAAAATGACAATATAAATGAGTTTATCGTACTTGGTAACGAACACGACAATGTTTCTGTTAATAATGATGACAACAAGCAACTGAAACAAAATTCAATAAGCAATCCATTAGCATCACCAACGGCTTTTAAACAATCACCAATGAATAAACTTTTTCGTATTAGCATTAGAAAAAATGATAAAAAATCTGATCCAGTTAAACGTGGATCGAAAAAGAATGCGATACAAGCATCGACATCTACAGCTTCATCAGCATCATCATCATCATCATCCAAATCCTCATCATCGCATAATAAACTATCTCCATCGTCTTTTTCCCTGATGTCATCATCATCATCATCATCATCTCAATCATCAACGCCAGTGACTTTAACAAATTATACACAACAGCCAACGTCATCATCATCTTCGATGTTCATGTCGGCCATGAAAATGGTAAAAGCTCGATTCAAAAAGAAATCTTCATCAGCCACGGTCTCTGCTAAAGATAAGAAAGAATCAGTATTTATTTGTTCAGGTAACGATGACATTACCTTCATCCGTTATCGTCACAATTTTGAAAAAAATCATCCGCCCATTCATCAACAGAATAAAATCGAACCATGTTCAATATCAGCTCCAGAATCACCTAATCAATCTCGTCATCATGTCTATCATAGTCATACATATCAGAATACAGAATTCCTAAGAAAATTATCTGATGATTATCCGTTTACTTCACATTCTGGCTTTCCTTTCATTACAGATGAACATGAATATGATGAAGTAACTCCTGATTTGAACCTGGATAATGATGCCGATGATGATGAAGAAGTTCCTAGTTGTTGTTCTGATGTTAGTGAACAACAATGGACCTGTGAATCTAAAGCATCAACCAATGTTGATGATAACAATCAGCATTTCAATCATAATCATCACACATTGTGCCCATCAACACCATTACAATTACTGCAGCCGAATTCGCCGTCCTTAAAAACGAAGCATACTTCTGTTATGAATACAGCAACAAGTGTTCAACAAGATTGTGGCTTGTATCTGGAAAATCATCATCACGATATTATCGACACTGATGAATACAATGCGTCTCATTCACATGAATGTTTTGACGTTGAAAATCACACATCGACACAAGCAATATCCACTTTATCAACGATCCATCATTTGCCACATCTAAACAGTGAAGATCGTCTGAACAATAATAGTAGCTTAGATTCAAACATTGTTCACTTTGAATACTTGAAAAATTTAAAAAACAACAAGTTTGAATCAAACACTAGCAGCGACATCAAAATGGACAGCTGCGAAAAATCTATTAATTCATCAACGATCTTGTTCGGTAAGCAAAATAGAATACACACATTTACGATCGTATAATTAGAAATACTTCACACATTTTATTTATAAAATTATAAGTTTTTTAGCTAATTTTAGCTTAAATTTTTAATTTGATAGGATGCAACTTGTTCATACTTTCACATATACAGGAAGTTAGCCACTTTAAATGTTCAAATTGAGTTGATAACCTTGTTGTAGGTATTGTTGTTGAATAATTGATCAATCAAATTGTATATGTGTCAATTTTAGTTCAAACACATTGATATTAAATCATTTGGTTCAATCAATCAATCAATTCAATATTACCTGGCCACAAACAAACACAAACATGTTGAATGATTGACACTAGCTTGATAATCGAACAGACTACACACATATTCGTGATCAATTGACCATTTTTGTTATTTATGACCTTTTTTGGTCGACTTGAAGGTGTTATCGCAAGTTTTCTTTGCTATTCAACATCTCCATAAAAAGCTATGTTTATTTTTCAGGTGTTGATCTCGAACACAAGCACACACACACACACAATAACAAACATTTAAGTAAAAATAATTATGGAAAATGTTGGCACAAAAAGAGTTAATGCGAATATGTTTTACAGAGAAATGAACGAAATTTATAACATATGAAAAAAAGGAAATTGCAAATAACCTAGACTAGACCATTATTGTTGATTTTTTATTGTTCGATAACGTGCTCTGTAGATCTTATCCATTTACACAAATGCTTAATGATCTATTTTGAATTTCTCTTTCTCTGCAATGGATCTTTATTATGATTATTATATTATGTTATTTTTGTTGTACGTGTCAAACAATATATGTACAATCTGTCTCTTTCGATCTATCTTTTGAGATTTAATTTCTCTTCGCTCACCTAGTATATACACTATAAAACGACAAGTGTTTTTTGAGCGAGTTATATAGAGAAATAGAGTTTCAATGGAAATGCAAACCTCATCATTATTGCCATACGGATTATATACAGATCAAACAGAACGACAAAACAAGTGCGTAATTCCATAAAATATAGTTTTTATCATTATCATCATCAAATTGACATTTGGTTTGTTTGTTTGAATATTCTCAGATGTACAATGACGATAATAATTTTACTCTAGATACATACAGTTAACCATAATACTATATAGCATAGAATCTTTTCCTAATTACTTTTTAAGAATAATCAAATTGATCATTTTCATTTAAAATATGTTCTTTCTATATGTTTTTAGATGATGAGAAACGAACAAAATTACATCAACAAGAATCAAATGATGAGTCGTTTTGCCAAAATAACGTCATAATTTCACCACTATCATCATCATCGTCGCATCAACAAGAAACGGCGACAATGACAACAATCGAAACTACTACTGTCACATTTGGCTCAACATCTTCCTTATTATTATATACGAGTCCGAAACAGTCATCGGTTACATCGACTACATCAACTATTAATAATCATATCCAGTGCAGTGATTGTAACGTTCAACATCGAGTTGATTATATTTGCCAAAATAAACTAGAAAGGCAAAAAGATAAAATCGTTTTTTCTGGTGACGATGGAAAGTGTCGAGGTAGTTCAATAAATTTTTCATATTCTGCTTCTGCTGTTGGTGAAAAAGAACAAGTCAATTCAGCTAACAAAACTCTATTCAATTTTGAACAATGGTTACCTTTGACAACGACAACGGTGGAAACCGCTACGGCAACGGCATCTGTCAATGAAACAACCTTGAAGCACAGGAACAATATCGAACAACATTTGAATCAGTTAAACAACAAATCAATACATAAACATAGTGGTAGGCAGCAACTAGTCGTCGTACCGGTTGATTCAGATTCAGGTGCCGTAACTGATGCCGATACAAACGATCTTTATGATATTGACGATATTGGACATTTGAGACGAGGACAACGACGACCATCCTCATCATCATCATCATCGACAAAAATAACCAGTTCATTTGACCATTATCATACGGGAAATCTTCTTGCATCGACCAGTAGTGGACAATCATCATTAGGAACATCGACCACATTGGCTAATTTGAATAATCATAACGAATCTCAATCGTCTTCATTGGAACATGATGTTGAATTTGATTATCAACAACAACATGGTAATTGTACCAAAACTCCTCAGCCACAATCATTGCCAGTATTTATGCAACAGCCACGTTCTCGTCATTCAATTGGTGGCATGGCATTTGTGATTGATTTCAATGATAATGTTAGTCATAATAAAACTCATTATTCTACTTGTAATAATTATAACAAAGGTCAAAAAGATAACAGAAGACCATCACCACTTTTATTTAACAATCCAAATACTAATGTAAATTGTATGAGTGATGTTGAACAACAAATGACTAATGTATCTCCTCATACTGGAAATTCGAATACTGCCACCAATGACATTACGATAACTGCGACATCAGTGAAACGATTGTCAAACGTAACATCTGTACCACCGACTGCATTAAACAAAACTAATATTGCTTATGTGTTCGATGTAAATGATATGAACGATAAACAGAAGCCATCTATTGAATTGTCAAACGATTCCGGTCACACCCAATATCATTCATCATCATCGATGAAGAAAAGTGATACTTATGATAAAAAAATCAATAAACTATTGGCAAATGATATGAATAACGACAAAGACAATCTTGTCAAAAATGATTATCAAAAAAATCCTAATAATCATTGTTCAGTAACAATACCTTTATCATCAACTACGGAGATCAATGAAATGTCGAAGAATATAGAGACAAATTCGAATCGAATTATTTCAGGTGTCGAAATGATAGATGATGATAAAAGTCGTCATAGTGATGCAACACTACAACAATCAACATCACGGCGAAGTGCTCAATTAAGTGAGTCTGCTGTTTACTTGATTAATCGAATGTTTGAGCATAATAATTATCAACATAATCCTCATCATCATCGTAGCAATAGTACGAATAGCCATGGATGTTATGATTTGGGTGATGATGTTGATTTTGATAATCATCATCGACCAGAAGAATATTTTGACGGTGGTGAGCATTATGGTCACATTCCTCATGCCAACAATGTAAAACCGTCAATCAAAACATCAGCAACTAAAACAACAAAACCACATTTAATAGCCAAATCACCTAATAGTCATAGTATCGAATATGATGATGATTCATTGAGTTTAATGAATTCTATTAAAGATCGATCACATACTTTGGCAGTCCAATCACATCGGTCATCATTACATCGACATACTCCTAAATCCTCAGTATCCGATAGCGCTGATACCATGACTTGTATGGATAAACAGTTAATCGATTCGAACATCAATATTGTTGACGATGATGGTGAATTAAGCGATACTGGAACGTATGTTATCGATATTGATGAGCTAACGGGAGAAAAACTTAGACGAAAATCAGAAAATGTTATGAATTCAAAAAAAACAATCCATAAATCGTCTACGAAGAAAAAATCTGCTCAACCCAAACATCAGCTCGCCGACGATGATGACGAGATCCGAATTAAATCATCCGATGGAGATTTAGGTGTCGGCAGTGGACCTATTGCTCGTTGTAATGATGGTGAAGGTGGTAACGGTGAAACTAATTCCGATGAATTTGGTTACGAAGAAGATGACGATGATGATGAAGATAAGCTTGAAGTAGCCCGAAAACAGATTGATGAACTATTCAGTAATTATGAGAAACAGAAAAAGAATAGTAGCCATCAACCACTAAAGAAAGATGCAACATTCACTCGATCGAAACGTCGTTCCAGCTGTTCAGAAGTTAATAGTTCATCGACATATCATAATGACAAATCATGTCGACCAAATCAAATGATTGGTGTTCAACAATCAACTCAATTATTTAATGTTATCGACGATACAGTTGTACATTCAAAAAACACCGGTGATAAATCTAAAAAAAGAATTAGTAGTGAATTAATGAGCGCATTCAAGAGGATTAACTCCAAATTAGAAAAAACAGCTCGACTCGGAAAGTTATCATTGTTGTCATCTTCGTCAACTAGTTGCACACCGTTAGTCGGTACCGATAATACCAACACAAATGATGACAATCATCATTCAACAAAATCGGTTTCAGCACAATCTAAACTACCAATAAAGTGTCGTTCAGCACCTTCGACGCCATTATTGGATGATCGTAAACATTCGGCCAATAATCGATTGTGTAGTCGAAACATTAACGGTAAATCCAGGATCTCGTCAGCAATTCCAAATAACGAATATTCATCCTCAACTGAACGAATTGATAATGATGATCGTCAACAACGAGCTCGTAGTGGATCGATAACATCTAACAATTCGGCCTCTTCTAGCTTACGTTTCAATCGTGCATTTGCATTGCGTCGTGCTCGTCTCGGTATGGATACTTGTGGTGTGGAAATTTCCGAACAATCTGCTAATAAGGCTAAAGAATCACAAAAAATAAATTCATCTAAAACGACAAAACTATCATCACCAGTATCATTTAAACGGAATGATGGTGGAAGATTCAGTCTTCGGGTACCAGGCGCTCGAATTCCGTTCAACACTTGTAATCAGTCGACAAAAGGATCACGAAAACCACCGTCTTCTTCGACGACGGTGGTTCCGCCAACTAATCGAAAAGTACTGAAACAATCACCGGTTTCGAGTAAAATCCCAACATTGAAATCCTATTCAGCATCATCATCCGTTTGTTCATCTATTGAAAATCTTTCGAATGGTCCTGTAAAAGGCAAGGCGAAAGATAGTAAATCATTGTCTTCCATAGATCATCGTAATCAATCACAACGCAGAGTTATTCCTCATTCAGACAATGAAATTCAATTCGATGCCGAATGTTCGTCATGTGATGATGGCGAAATACTAACATATCCTGCATTACCTTTCACACGTTTCGGCAGACGCTCATTACGTTTTATGCCATCATCTGGTTGCAATGAAAATAGCACACCATGGCTAAAATCGCTTTCAAATAAATCTGTCGATTCAAGTATGAATTTTGTTTTTTGCATGATTTAATTACTATTGATTTGGAATGTCCTTTTTAATAATTTTTTCAATTTTTACTTTACCTTTTAAAAGATGCCGATATTGTTAACAAACGGAATAAGGCAGAAATACAACCACAGCCGATTAATCAAGGTTCATATTCCTTATTTGGTGGATCACGTCGAACATCTTCAGCTAATAGTTATTGCTCGGAGAGCGAGAGCCAAAATTACAGTTCTGCTATTGAACCTTCATCACCTTCTATTGTTGATCCTAGAACAGCTAGGCCAATCGTCCCTCCGTTTCAGGTTGGGAAACGTTTCTTTTCCACTAAACCACACCGAATGGCACAATTTGATAAGGATTTCAACACCATTATCCATGGCCATCATTCTGCTAGTGCTAATCCATCACCAATGCGACAATTATCAGCCGATCCTAATTTGATGACTCATTCAGTTACCGAATGTTTATTATCGGATCGTTCAAGTATTGATGGCAAAAGACAAGAAATCAAATCAAACGAAATATCCGCAGCATCCACAGCCATTGCATCTAGCATAAATGCCCGGATATTTTCCATTTCTCCATTGGATTCATTAGTAATATCCGCTATCAATCAATTGTCTTCTAAACTTCGAACAAGAATGCGAGATTTCCTTGAACGTGAACGCTATAATCATTTGCTTGGATCCGAAGCTCGAACATTGATTGATGAAATTTTACCTCAAGTAAACACTAATGGAAACGGACCTGATTCATCAAAATCTAATCAAATACGTAACAATTATAATCATGATTCATCAAATATTAGTCGTGATCTGTCGAATATATTGAAAAATTTGAAAAAAGTCGAACAAATTTTCGATGGTATGTGAATTTTCAATTTGTAAACAATTTATTTTATATTTTTATATCTCATATATAATAATCTAGTTTTCTCCATGGTTGTCGAACCGTATACAAATGAATCAAAAATTGTCGAACTCCACAAAACAGATGGCCCAATCATAACGAACGCCTCAGATACTGATACTAGCGGAAGTGATGATGGTACAAATGGATCGGTAGTCATAGCCAATTGCACAAGTACCGAAACATCTATAAATCGATCACGACGATCACCATTTATAATCCCTACCCAACAATCATCAGCAAAAGCCTTTTCTCAATCACCACCATCATCCGAATCATTATCCCAATCACGATCAGGATTCTTTATTGAAATTTAAAGTGACCTTTTTAAAAATCATCAATATCATTACGATAATTTACTTAAAAGATTTAAGATAAAATTTGAATTGATTTACCTAAAAATGCGAAAATATTTGTGATATTGATTCTAGTTCGTTTCAGTTTATATTTGTACCATAAATGAGAATGAATGAAATAAGCTTATTTTTTGTCTATGTAACAAGATATCATATTTATAATCCTATAATCTTAGCCTAATTTATTTTCAAATAATTTTACTCTTTTTTTTATCAAAATAACAACCAACAAGCTAATAAATTTGTATATTATTAAAGCAAGTTTTTTTCTATATAAAATGTACTGTATATTACTACAATGGGAAGCAAGATCAACCAAAATGATACCACCAATGTTTGATTAGATGCATCAGAGTCCAACATTCAACCTATATATAATTATCATTGGATTAAATTTTGAAATCATTTTATCAATGAAAATGTATGGATTTGCAATCTTGACGGTCAGTGATCGGTGTAGCCGAAATGAAAATGTTGACACTAGTGGACCAATGTTGCGACATTTGATTGAAGATCATCATGATCGATTTGATGTGATCGATTATCATATTGTTTCAGATGACAAGAATGACTTGAAAGAAATTCTTATTCGATGGTCGAATCGTTCAGATATTCATTGTATATTGACAACCGGTGGAACCGGACTAACATCACGTGACGTTACTCCAGAAGCCACTAATGAAATAATCGAAAAAGAGGTGTCTGGAATCAGTTTTGCATTGATTTCGGCATCGATTACGATCACTCCCATGGCCATGTTGTCAAGGTGATTCTGATCTGTTTGTTTTCAAAAGTTTTCATGTTAATTTTTTTAGGATGAAATGTGGAATTCTCAATCGGACTTTGATTATCAATTTACCTGGAAGTCAGAAAGCTTGTAAAGAATGTTTCGATGTTATCAAACCAGTGTTGAAACATGCAATCGATCAATTAAAAGATTCAAACGAAGTTGATATGTTACATCGTACAATGAACAATTATATGAAAAGTATGATTCATAATATTTATTTGTAACGCTAATTTTATAATCTATTAAAGGTAAGGTGAAAGAAACACCGATTGCTAATCGTGAAAGACATTCGCCATTTGAAATGATACCGATTAAAGAAGCTCAACAGAGAATATTTGTCGAAATCGGATCATATTTTCAAACTGACCGTAATGAAATGTTTATATCAGCGAAAACTTTACACAAAGCTCTCAATTTCATTTTGGCTCATGATGTCTTTGCATCCGTTCCATTGCCACCATTCAACGCGTCTATCAAAGATGGTTATGCTGTAATTGCCGAAGATGGACAAGGTAACCGAAATGTTCTTTCTAAAGCATCAGTAGCTGGATTGAATGAGGTCACAAGAATCGATCGAGGATTCTGTGCTCGTATTAGTACTGGTGCTGCTGTACCACCCGGTGCCAACGCTGTCGTACAAGTAGAAGATACCGAGCTTATAATAAAAACCCAGGTAATTTTCATTAAATGTTAATCACCAAGTATAACTCACTATTGATGATGATAGGATGACGATGAAGAAGTGATCAACATCAGAACCATTCCTGTTGTTGGTCAAGACATTCGTTCGATTGGCTCAGATATTCCAGTGGATAATTTGAATCCATTGATAAAAAAATATAGACGTTTATCATCAATCGACTTGGGTTTGATTGCGGCAACCGGGGTTAAAGAAATCAAGGTATTTCGACGACCCAAAATAGCTGTACTTTCTACTGGTGATGAAATTGTTTCGGCTGGTCAACCTAGACCTTGGAATTGTGTTTGGGACTCAAATCGAACAGTCTTGATGTCTTTGTTATCGCAGTTTGAAGTCGTTGATCTTGGAATAACACCAGACTTAGCAGATAGTATATTCAATTACTTAAATAAAGGAATGCAAAATGCCGATATCGTCATCACTACGGGTGGAGTATCAATGGGAGAACGTGACCTGCTCAAACAAGTCTTGGGGAAGATTTTAATGCCAATATACATTTCGGTCGAGTAAATTTGAAGCCAGGAAAGCCTACAACATTTTCGACGACAACATATGATGGCAAGAAAAAATACATCTTCTCATTGCCCGGTAATCCAGTAAGCACATTTGTTACTTTCAAAATATTTGTCGAACCATTCCTTCAGCTTCTTTCGGGCAAATATTTTGATTTTGAAAATCAAAAAGAAGTAAATCTAATGGAAAAGTTATTTAAATGGATCAAATGCAAAGTTGTTCTTGATAAGCCTTACAAAATCGATACAAGACCTGAATTCGTTCGTGCTGTCATTACTTTTTCATCATCGTTTCCCGAAGCCAAACTAACCGAATCGAATCAAATGAGCAGTAGATTATTGAATGTAATGAATTCAAATGGATTATTGTTCATTCCGAGTAGTCTAGATGGCCAGAAATTCCTAGAAAATGGCAATTTTGTGGATGCAATTTTATTTTGATACTTGATTTTTATTTTTATACAGAAAATATTCATAAATCAATAAATTTAAAATCGAGTATGAAATAAATCAAGCGATCGAATTAATCCAGGAAAAAATGTTATCAAGATTTTTCTGCTCTTTCCAACAGCTACAATCGGCGAAATCAATCGAATTTCGTAGATCACCAAATTTAAATGGATTATCCGGATTGCCCAATAATTGAATACTGTTATCATCACCTGATGTTGTATCCAAAGCTCCCATGCGAGTTTCTCTTATGGTATTGCTGTGAAAATCAAAAGAAATTCAATAATGACGATAATTCATTATATCGATATTAATCATACAATTCTTTTTCCAACATTGACGAAATAACTTTAGCGGATTTTGCACGAGTTTCGTCTTGTTTTGTACAGGCAATCAAAACCGGTATTCGATTGGAAACGACAAAACTATCGCAAAGAAACTGGTACAATAAATCAGCAACATTGTGAACATTGGACATAAAATTCAAACTATCAACAACGAAAATAATTCCTTTGGCACGGAATTTGAATTTGTCCCAATATTGATTACGCAAACGATCGAATCCTGGAAGATCGAACAACACTAATGTTTTGTTGTTTTTCAATGTTATAGGCGCTTCATTCTCTTTCATTGAAGTCACCGTCGAAGCAAAATGAATCGTATGCAAGTTGAGTAAATAGTGTTGTTTTACCGGATTCTGATAAACCAATCAACAAGATTGACTGTCGAGAACTTTTTCGGCTAAATAAAAATATAACTGTAACAAGATTAGATTAATATGATATGATGATAATAGATTTGTTACAATTACCTAGAGAGATTAAAACAGCTAATACAGCAACGGTGATAGAAAGAAGAAAATAATTTCCTTCTGAAACTAAAATTTTTGTTCCAGAAACCAAATGCTCATCCATGATTATTTTATGGATTTACACGCACGTTATGACGTGGTGAATAAGAAAACTCAATTTATTATTATCATGAAAATCTAAAACATTCCAAAGTAGCGGCATCTTATGAAAATTCTTGGCACTAAAAATTAATTAATTTATGAACATGATTTTTGAAAGAATCTACATCGACATCTAGCTTTAACTTTAATCATTTATTGAAATTTTTGTTTTATACACCTTTAAAGAAACACAATCACTGATTACTTATCAAATGCAAGAATTAGTGATGATCATTAAAATAATGGCAAGCATTAATCCAAGATTTTCCAATCGAATAGTTTGAGATGCACTTGAAAGATCTGCACCAGATTTAATTTTATCCAAATACATTCGACTTATATTCCATACATCTCGATGCATTCGACTGATAAAAACAAGATTATAATCTATTATGACTGGAATATGTTGTGCACGTGTTCTGGCTTGAACGAATGTCTCCTGACGAATTCGATCCAATTCTTGATTAATGCGTTCAGAATGTTGAAATGAATTTTCCAAAAATTCGATCAATTGTGATTGTTTTGTCGGGTCTTCAAGAAAAATTTTAATCTTTTTATCAAGTGTAATGAATTCTCGTCTAATTATTTCCATATCGGAATACGATGGATAGTCCTCTTTGAATTTGAACAATTTTTGATTCAAAATTTGTGAATCAAAACCACTTGAAGGAAGAGCTGCATTTTTTATTCGATATGGTGTTAACTGATCAATAACCATGGTTATACTATCATTTAAAGCGATAATTTCATCTTCATATTCAAGACAATTAAATCTTCGATTAATTGATTTTAGCATCATTTTTTCGCGCAACCAATGAAATCTTTTATGAAAATCTTTCAATTTTGTTTGAATTTCTTGAAGGTTTTTCAAAAAGGAATCAATTATCGGTCTCAAATCTGGTTCTGGTCGGCCAAGTAATTCCATATGATTTGTTTCGACAATATCATAGTAGGTTTTATTTATTCCAAGTAATTCATTTCGAATACTCATTGATTGATTGAATGAATGAATCAATTTCGAAAGTTGTTCTTGTTCTTCGCTATCATTCCAGCAATTTATCCCTGTAATTGTTATTGAATGATTAGAATTTCGTATGAAAATACTTTACGTTTTTACCTGAAAATGTGCAAAGAATTACAATAAGATGAATAATTTTTTTGGAAAAAGATGACATTTTTCTTTCTTGAAAATCTGTCAATTTTACACTTATGGTAAAACAAAATCAAAAGATTGAGCACACATGCACAAACATACAAGAAGAATAAATTTTCGGTAACAATTTCTTATCGAATGGAAATTGATGTATTATTTCAATAAAAAAGAATGGGATTATACTGGGTGTCATATTTATCCGATATCATAATAAAATATCAAAATAATTTTTTGATAAATAAAACTCTTGAATGGTTGCGTGAGATCTCTTGTTACCTGGGAAATTTAATCTTATCATAGATACATGGGCAAAATCACATTGAAAATAACAAGATTTGAGGTTAAATAAAAAATATTTAATCTACTCATCATCAAATCGATTGATTTTAGATTGAAAATGATTGCATTTTAAGAATTAATGTCCGTTGTAGGCGTGGTGTCAGTTATACTATGATCTATTGCACGATTCTTCGCCGTTTGTGCATTGTAATCGTCGTTAAGTTTAACTAATCTTATGATCGAATAAACGATGAAACAAGCATAGGTTAACATGTTGATAAGAAATGAATGATAACCAATCAATAAACGATATAAGCCATGTTTTAACGAAACACGTGTGATAAACCATTGATCAATGAATGCGATGACCACACAAACAATCAATGTTTTGATTGAATCATTGAATGTCAATATCATTAGAATGAGATTTATCAGAAATATCGTTATGAAAACGGCCATTACTAGATGATTTTCACGATCATTTTCAAATGAATGTTGATTGGAATAATTGATCCAATAAATAGAATGAAAAGCCAAATTAATGAGAACGATAATTAACAGAATCAAACGAAGAATAGAAAATAAGAATTTATTCCAATCTATTGTCGATCGATATTTTTCTCTAATTAATTTGGATGAAGAATTTTTGATTGTTTTAAGTGTCGATTGAAACAATTCTTTCATTGTTTCTATTATGCTTCTGTTCCTTTATTTAGCTAATCGATATGGTATATTATTGAAATGATTTAAATACAGAAATTCAATAAATAATCATATTTAATCGAACATTTGAGAAAAAAATGTTTGTTTAAAAAATTCAGAACTAAATGTAGTTCCAGGTCATAAAAATAATTTATTATTAAAACAATTCACATGGCTTAATAATTATCTTTATCGTCAATGGTCAACTAAGGCCAACTAGACAAAACGATTTCATGATGATAATTATGAAATAATGATGATACTCAAACTCGACCATCAAAAATGAAAAAAAAATAATAATGAAGATGGAGATGAAGATAATCGCGTACATTTTTCAAAATCAGTATAAAGAGAATTTCAATGTTGAATATCCATTCATAATGTGACAAAATTATTATTGATTTTGTTTATTACTTCCGACTGTAAAGTTTTATTGTCTATGCGATTGTTATTACAATTATAACGGGTTCCATTAAAGATGAATCTATCAGATCATCATTGTATATGCTAATACGGGTCATAATAATTCTTATGTGCCTATAGGCCTGTATGATTGGATCGTGATTGTTAAAAAAAAATAGTCATCACTGTAAGAAAAACAACGGATTTATGACATAGATCAATTCAATATCGCCAATCATAATTCACTTCCGTATCATGAAAATGATATACTATGTAGATATGAAAACTTGAACTTCAAGTGTTTTGACATCGAATTGATGATTATTATCATAATGATCAACGAATAAAGACAATGGCCATAAAAGCCAAATACAAACGTATTGATGAATAAAATCGCAAAAAAATGCAAATATTAGCAATTCATTAGCTCTATCGAAACTTTTCTTTTTTTTCAAGTATTGAGGCAACAAATATAATGTTAATTATTATACAAATATGAAAAAAATGGAAATAAAAATAGCTAGGCAAATAAATTAAAGAGAAAGAGAAAATAAAATCAATGAAAAAATAATGGTCTTGAATTCAAAAATGGACAGAATGAATTTTTCACCTTGGACATTCAGTATGCACAAAAGTGAATGAAATAATTGCTTCGTTTATGATATGAAATATGTACACGATCACTCATCATTCGTATCATCGTCATAATTTAGATTATAATCAACGAAAAAGAAATTGAAAATCTAATGATCATCATAAAAAAGTGTCGCAATGTTAAAGTAGCTACGATCAAGTGAAATGAAATGTTATTTCGAAAAAAATATGTTAAGAGAACAGCATTCCTATTAATGTTATTGTTCTCATTCGTAATGATTTGGACATTTGATCGTTTCTGTGTAGAAATAAAAGAGCAATGCTGAATGAATGAATCCTTGATAGATTCAGATGAAAGAAAAAGGTTTTAAATGATAAAGTGAGACAAAAATTCGGCGTCATCGACCATCAAATAACTCTTAACATTTATCTATTTCTCTTTCTTTCTCTAGATTAAAACATGTCTCTTGCTTAGATCGGGTTTATTTTTACCATCCTCAGACACATACAGACAAACACATGATGTTTATTAATGGCAAATCATTTCGAAAGTCTCATCATTGATTATCATCAAAGACCATCGTTTTTCAAGATTCTTGTTACTGTATGTGAACAACAATGATACTAATTAAATTGATTGATTGAATCAATGATAGTGAACATATAAAAAATAGAACTTCTTCGCAGGTAACATGACAATGATGATTTGTCAATTATTGTCAAATACAAGCTAGTCAAACAAAGTTGTTTTCGTATACTTCTATTGTGTCGGTGCCTTAATTGTGGTTTCAAGTTAAGTTTATAAAATTCAGCGAAAATTGTGACAAAAATGCCTTCAAAAAATAATAATCAAAAGAAAAATTCATCACAATCGAATATCAATCATAGTGAAAATGACAAATTAACTACTACAACCGGTGAGGAACAATATTTTGATAATGCATTTATTGATCAAGTTCGCCAATCGCTGTTATCCAATGATGTGAATCAATTTGATCCAATTGATATCGAACGATTGAAAGCTCATGATGATTGGTTCATACGGCGATTTCTAGCATGGCGACCCACGACCATCGATGAGGCAATCAAAACAATGATTCAGGCATTGTTATGGCGAAAAGAGATCAACATCAATCAATGGTAAGCGATAATATCCAAGTACAAAAATAATCAAATACCCGTTATGCTATTATCTTGGTATGCATGTCCATATAACTGATCATGATGATGGTCAGTGCAGTCTCATTTTTGATTATCGAAACATCATTGCACCTGACCTGATTTTTTTTCTATATTGAAGCTGAAAAAATTTATTTTTAAATTTTAACTTTTGGATCATAATGAACAACTATGAGACTACTAGTACTAGATATTAGGTCCAATGTTAAATCGAAATAAAAAAAAATGAAAATGACCGCACCATTGACATTGACATTATTGAACAGACGTGTAACAGTTGAAAAGAAATTGCTATGTTAATGATGGCCATATTGGCGAAATTATGTAACAAACATGGTCATTTACTGCTGCTGCGAATCAATTCAATCATCAAATTTCAAGCAGACTCATTTTGCATGCCAAATGATGTTGCGTAACAATTATTAAATTTGGGGAAGAAAAAATCACTGACAGATTTTTTCAAGGAATATTTGAAAATCTTAATATTTTGATCTCATTTGTATAAAAAAAATAAATAATATTTCAAAAAACGATTACGGCTTTTATCTACAAGAAAATAGTCAATATTGGAAATAATCAAATAAAATTTTTTTTTAAATAATTTCTCTATCTTGAGAAATGATGACAGAAAAAAAGATGATTTTTTTTGTGAAAAATTACTTGGGCGTATGTGTGCGTAGGTCAAGGTGAAAAATTTCAATTGTTGTTGATGATTGGTTTGTATTTGAAATATGTTCTGATTGAAATTGTTATTTTTTTTTTTATTCACACCTAAATAGGAAAGATACAGATTTTCCAAGCGAATTCTATCAAATTGCCGGCTGTTTTCATTATCTACCTGATCGTGAGAATAAAAATATACTTATATTACGTATGCGTTTCAATCGAAAAGAACCAGTCGGTGTAGCATCGATTGAGACAATGGTTCGAAATTTTTTTATCTATGTTGTTGAGAAAATTGTCAGCCAACATCCAAACCAAGGATTTGCATTAATATTTGATTGTTGGAAAGCATCATTGTCAAATGTTGACATTGATATGGCTCGTTTCATAATAAATACTTTATCAAATTATTATTCTGGTATGTTAAAAATGATACAATGAAAATTCATTCAATTAAAATATCGTTTGTGATTAGGTGCCATATCATACGTGTATATTTACGAACTTCCATGGATATTGAATCAAATATGGCGTCTAGTACGATCATGGCTGGATGAAGAGGCTAAAAGTATCGTACGGTTTGTAACAATCGACAATATTGTCCAGTATATAGAAGCATCTAATCTGCCAGATTACATGGGTGGCTATTGTGGTAAAGATTATCGATTTGTACCAAAAGGTGTACCAACATTGGAAGAAATGTCAACCGGTAATGGTGATACAAAAAAATTGGTCATCAAAAGCGATAAGGATTTAAAAAGATTGACAGAACATTTTCAAAAATTGATTAAATTACAATAGTAGAATAGAATTGTGAAATCCCTGAAATGGGTCGGTGTAATCGGACTCTTTAATAAATAAGAAGACAATATCAATCATCTCGCATTGTGTGTGCATTACAATACAATTTTATTTTTTTATCATTCTTGTTTTTTTTAAACTAATTATTTCTTTCTTGATACAACAAACTGATTTATGATTGATCATCTGTTTTTGTTCAAATTTATAATTTAAAAAATAACAAATTGCTGATTCATCATCATCATTTCTACGTAGTTAAAAGTGACAAAAATACAATTATAAATTATATGATGATAATAATAAAATGATGTGATCGACCACCGAAACCACCTGTTGGTCCAATTTTGAAAAAAAATTCATTTTTTCCTTTATTAATAGGAAAAAATTTGCAGATAATAATATCACATGTTTATTGAATGATGATTTTTCCTCTATACCTAACATGGTCATTCGATTCACATCTTCGATTGTACAACGACAAACAAATGACATCGCCATCAATCGTGTCTATCATTCTATACTTGTTAAGTCTACCTATATTTATGAGGCTGATCTGACCTACTCTCTCTCTCTCTTTCAATTCATCTTTCTCATACTTATTAACCGAGTTTTTTGTGTTAATCATCACCATCTTGGCTGTTAATGACCAACATCAAACAAGTGGCCAAAATAAGTTGAGTTTTCTTATTGTAGATTTTACACCTGTAGTTGCTGAGTTGACGAAAATCACATCATCAACATTGTCGTCGACATTTTTGCTCATATATTTATAGGGAGACAAACAAACAAACAAATAAAAAATCGAGTCATTTATGAAAAAAGTGAGATACGAGGAGTGAGAAAAAACAAAACAAAAAAAACTAACAATCAACATCATTGGTTGTTAACCACAAATTTTCAAACATTACAAATAGACATTGACCCATAGCAAAAGCAAGAGAATTGGGAGCACATTTTTATTTGTATATATGGTTTTCTTGTCTCTCTTCAATAATTTGGCCAGTTGGTCAATTATGATGTTAATGATATATAGATTCAATGGAGAAAACTCTCTTTCTTTCTACTGGCGAGATATCTAAAGGTAACCAAAAATAGCACAATCATATATTATTGAATGAAAATAGATTCATTACAAGATTATAGTGAGTTCGCGCGTTTAAATGGATGTATGGACGATAAAATGGATGATTGTGATGTGAACATATTCGATTCATTCTAAGACAGCTCGTTGTTATCATAAAAAGGTCTACTGGCCATGATCGCCACTATTATCATGGATGATGGCTAACGGTTGATGACCAGGTGAATTTTTTCTATTTTTTCTCTTACTCTCACTCTAATTGTTTCTATTCTTTTCTTATATTTTATAAAAACAGCATTGATGATGACAGTGATGAAGTTGATAATGGTATACGATTCAAAAATGAAAAAATAAGAAAGGAAAAAACAAACCGCTTTTTAACAAACAAACGACGTACAAACAAAGAGAGAAAAAATCGAGAGAATTTTCTACTTATACACAAACATAATTATACGGATAAATCGTTAAGGTCTTGGGTAATATCGTTGAGCATCGGGTAGTTGCTATTGATCAACTAACAAACATTCTCGTCAATCATAAGATTTTATGAAATTATCTAGAGTGATTATAATTATCTCACTTTCATTGAATCGGTATTCACCATTCTTTATCAAACAACAGAATATTCAATTATAAAAACGATGAAGCTATGTTATCTCAAATATGATGATCGTCGTTATAAAAACAACAATATATCCACTTCACGAATTTATATTCCATACATGATATTAATAATTTGTTGTACATGGTTATTATGGCCACCAATCGTGCAAACAGCACCGTCAATCAAAATTGATAAAAACACCATCGAATTATTAAATAATGGTTTAAAAGCCTTGGTCAGCATTAAGCAGATATTATCAACTATACAGACATTCAATGAACTTCATACAATATACAAAGAGCAAAAACAACAACAACAGAATTCTAATCAAATTTCCATTTCCGGCTTACCAATCTTATTACATTCTCCCACTTCTCCGCCATCATCAGCAGTGGAAACTTTGGATGTTAATCCAGCAACTTTATTATCAATACAACCTTTACCGCCACCTTCAAGCCGACCACGTGTAAATTTCGTGCAAAAATTGTTTGGAAAAATACCATCAATGTTACTGTTGCCAAATGTCAATAATAAAGGGATTAATACGAATAAAATTACTACAAGTAAGTGATAAAGATTGAAAAAAAAATTTCGTTTCATAAACAAAACAAAATTTCCACATTGCTTTTAGTTCAACGCGATCCATCATTGGGATTGATTAAAATTGGCGAAAAGCCACCACCAGGTTTATTTCCAGAAACATTGCCATATTCGGTTTCCCAATTTGAATCACAAAACGAACAATCATCAGCATCACCATCACCATTATCTATTAATGAACAGGATGCATTCAAACAGCTAGCTTCGGCTGTTGTCAATCAACACCAAAAACATCATCATAGTTTAACTCTTGATCACGATTCCAATCATCAACAATTATCGACAACAGAACTCGAAGATAAAAGAATAACCCAGCCGATTAATCGTTTTCTGTATAATAAACCAATATCATTGTCAACAAACAAAAGCCAAGAAGAGGAAGAAACATATGGATATTTTGATCAAGATACATTGATACCATATCATTATTTTAGTACATCATCATTATCAACCATACCAACAAAACAATCTTCATCATCATCGATATAAATAAAAAAAAAGATAAACTTTATGGCATATCCAGTTTAAATAACACATTTCGATCATCAGCTAAAATTACGTATATTTTATTATTAAAATCTTACAAGTTAGCAATTTTGTAAATAATTTTCAGTCTATTATCAATGAAACAATTTTGAAATATTATGAAATATGAATGAAAGTATGAATAAATAAATATAATAAATTATAATGGGTTTGAATAATCAGTCTAAATGTGTTTAATTAATTAATATTATTATTATTAATTTTTATAAGATTCATAGCCATCAATAAATTCGCGAACCATTCCTTCAATATTTACACGTCCCGTAACATTATGTGTCATATCAAATGGATCATAAACTTCGACGACATCGGATGGATAATTTTTCGGGACTATCTTGGCTGTATGTGTACAAATAAAATTGGAGTTAAAATCAAATTGTGAATAAAATTTAAAGAAACCTATGAATAATTGGGCAACATTTTCGTCGCAAATATCATGAGGAAAATGTTGTGTCACAATATCTATGTTCGTACAGAAATCCGTACGGCATGTGTTTGTGTATAAAGGATAAGGAGATCTGGAGAGTTTAATGAGATAGTCAATGGCTGGAAGTATAGATTTTTGTTGAAAATAGAATAAAACCAATAAGGTTGCAGCATACGATGATAATAGGATTCGTTCGCGTACAATGTTTCGAAGCCATAAACGAACAAGTAAAACGATTGACATAAAACGGGCATCCAATTGACATAAGAATCGTATCAAACGAGTATTTGCCAAACCAAGGGCACAATTAACGTTTAAATCACATTTAATCGATAATCGTATCAATTCTAGGTATTGATTACATTCCCAAATATCGCTGAATATGGTCAAACGAAGTAAGGGAACGCGCATTTTTCGTTGTAACAATGTTTCAATAAATACATTGTATGGAAATAGTGTATCTTCATGAGTACGAAATATCGATCGCATTGAACGAAATTTATTGCGAATGTTTTCGAAATTTTCCGCTCGATACTTTAAAGGTTGACGATCAAAACGTATGTCAGGTACACGGACAAATATGTCAATATCAGATTTATCTTTGAAGGCTAAACCACAGCCAATCGAACCGAATATTTGCAATTTACAGGAGAATCCTTGGCTACATAAAGCATTTTCCAATTGTTGCACCATATGGCAACGTTGTTTAATCATTGGTTCGGGCAACAAAAGTTTTTTGGCCAAAAATTTTTTTATATCGATTGATGAGATTTTTTGTCGACATTTTAGTTTGACAGCGGCAATTAATTTTTCGAATTCTTCAACCTTTAATGATTGGCGATCTTCTTCAGATAAATTAGGATGTTCTATGATGAAGTCTGGTATTTTAAGAGGTTCAACCATGATGAATGGGTATGATATATTCAAGTCGTTTTGAATATACTAAATAATAATAAAATAAAATTAATAATAATAATAATTAAATTGTGAGATTGACGATAATTTATTTAGTGAAATGAATTTATCGTCAACTTTGAAAATTTATAATTACAATATAATGTTGACAAAAAACCTCATCAATCGATATAAAAAAATTTTTGGCCAAAAAACTTTTGTTGCCCGAACCAATGATTAAACAACAAGGCCGATGTGAAACATTCTGCACAACTTATTTAGCAAATACCATTTATATGGAATAAATGCACGATTCGGTGAAAAATACATTGAGCAATAGACTCGCTCATGGTGCATGGGCGATGGTTTTTACGAAAAACGATGATATTGCCATCTACTGCATTGAATTAATAATTCATTGCTATAATTTAAAATTCCTACCCACGCTTGTAATGGTGATGATTATCATCAAATCATCAAATTGTATGGTTATAAATACGTCGATCAAACGTTTGTTGGTCGTTTTGCAATAAAAGCTTCATTATTCTACTTGGTGATTCATCTGGCTTTACAAGCATAAACCATCTATAACAATAACAATTGAAAACGAGTTTCATATTATTGTGAACGGAAAAGTTTTTGATGTTCGCGAACACTTAATTTGCTTCAGATATATTATAGTGTCTAAAACATTTGCATTTATAATGCTAATGATGAAAGCTATTCTTTTTAATCATTAATTAATTTAATCATGGGAATATTTTGGTTTCATTCTCAAATTATGGTCTCATAGTATTACAAATTAGATATTCATTTCATAATTTTTTTTCAGGCATACTCATTGAAAGAAATAGGTGCCTTAATCATTAATTTACAATTGTTAGAAAATGTGAATCAAGGAAACAGCTAATTACATTTTTCGTGTTACAGCGAATAATGTAAGAAGATTCCATTAGATGATTATCATCATCACAATTTCCATAATAAGCTTATTTATCATAATTATCAATTATTTTTTTCAGTCAAAATTAGGTAGATATGAATTTTTTTTTGTTTTGTGTAGACAAACAACAAAATTAAAAATGGAAAAAATCACACACACACACACATTCATTATCTTTTCATGAGCAATTTTGATTTCTCTTTATTTTGTGTTTAACAAAAACCGAATAAATCCATTTTGAATGGACATTGCGATCGGATCGATGGATTTGTGTGCATGCAAGTGTAAGTTGTTAATACAGATGATTTTTATGTTAATGAATGAATTTGATCATAGTTTACATTTGAAAATTCTATTACAAGTTCAATTGGATAACAGGTCACATGTAGAACGATATGTTTGCTTCATTCGATAATGTAGTTTGGATGATGTACAAAAACGATTCTGGTGGTGATGGCGGTTATGATTGTGGTTAAATCGTTGATGATGAGGACTGTATGATGTTGTGGAAGACGATGATGTCGATGATGATGATGAATATTTTGAATTCGAACGATTTGATGATGAATATTTTTTCAACGATGTGACATGTTTAATTTTATCATCTGAATGCTTGACAGCTAAGTCTTGATGTTCATTTATTTGACCATTGGATAATTGATGTGAGGAAAAAAATAATCGTTTACTTTGTTCCAATCCAATTCGATTGAATGTTGGCAACTGCTTCATTGGATTCGGCCGTAGAGGTATGTAACGGGATTTAGTTTTTATGGGCATTGTCGTTATAGCCGTTGCTGAAGCTGATAGCTTTTTATTTTCTAAACTACCATTCTTTATCGGGCTAATATTTGATGATGAATGTATGGGTATTGAAGATAATAAATGTTTGGCAATAGTGGTTGACGATGATTGTCGATGATTTGATGAATTTGATATTTTGGCAGCATAACCACAATAGTATAGGTCATCAGAAACTTTCTCACGTAGATTTAAACAATGATTCGAACAATGGTCTCTATGGCTATTATTATTTTCAAAATAATCATCCTCGCATGGATCATATAACGGATTTTTAGCCTTTAATGGTACCCTACAATGATGATCGGTTGCTAACTCTGATGTGAATAATTTACGACTAATAACTGGATTGAATGCACCATTAAGTTTGAATTTTGACCAAAATAAATCCAACGCAACAATGTTGATCAATAATATCCAGCATGGATGTCGAAGATATTGATGATGTTCTTCATTATCAGCCATTAATTGTATGTGATGCACACATTGATTCTCTAATGATGATGATGACGATAAGTTGTGAAACGGATTCATTCGTTGTCCAGAATTCTTTAATGGCGTTTGTTGTTGTTGAGACAATATCGAAATCATAGATTGTTGGAATTTTTTAAAATCAAATATCATTCGTGGTTTATTCATTTCCAACGCAATCATGCTCTGTTCATGTTGTCGCTGTTGAAGCTGCTGCTGCTGGGAATAATAATAATCCGAATTTCCAACCGGAATACCAGGACCAAGAAACACAGGACATCGACCAATGCGTTTTATATGAACATTACCTAGATCGTCAATTTTTAATTTGAATCCCTAAGTCAAAAAATTTTTGTATAATATAAATTTTTTATTAGTAGACTATAATTATAAAAGTTTGTGAATCGGATTTACCGAACGAATCTGTTGTTTAATCATTTGTACTTCAAAATCACGTTTAGGATTGGGAAAACCATTCAAACCAATACGATAACCGTCGAATCCACGATCGGAACCAGTAATCGATATGACTTGTGACCGAGCATATGCTTTGGCTACACGGCGATTTCGTTCGAAACAGATAATTTTAGCCCATATTTCATCATCGATTTGATTCCATTTATTACGGATTTCTTGCAATTGATCCTATTTAATATAAAACCAAATAAAGAAAATTTGGTAATTAAAAATTCACAATATGATTATTTTCTATTTGACATACATTGATTAATTGATGAAAATCGTGCCAGATATTTTCGTCGTCATCATCATCATCATCATGAATATTATTATGGTCAATATCATCGCCATCTTCATCATCAACATCACCAACATAGGGATCTTCTTCAACATTTTTATTCACAAGATATTGATCAAGAACATCTGGATGTTTATAAAGATTATCAGATGATGATGATGCAGATGATGATGAAGAATTCGAGGAAGAATCTTCTGATTTTGATATAATTTTTCGTCGTGAAATCATTATTTTAATTATAACAATATGGAACAAACGATACTAACACACGATAAATCACACAAAAACACGATTGCAATATATAAAAAATTGCCGGTGATAATGATGATAATAATAACATTTACTGTTTACAAGCGATAAATATTTATTTCATCGATAAATGAATGATTTTAAAAAACAATAAAAATTAATTTAAATCAAATTATAAATTGTAATTTTAATTTAAAAAGGTTCAACATCAATGATATTTTTTCTTAATGTGACGAAAATCATCATGAAGATGTTTGTTGGGTAAGTGCAGAAATGAAAATAAAAAACCAACCATTTTTCAATTCATCAGTCTTGAATTTGATCATCAAAAATGCCCAAAATCCGTATAGTTGGATTTTCTCTCAAATAATTTTTTTGTTTAATCTTAAGGGACTCTTTTTCGTTTTTATATGATAACTGTGTGTCTGTGTGTCTCTCATATCATATCAATGAATAAACGTCTTCTTGATTTTGGATCATTCTGTTTAAAAAAAAACTTTTTCTCGCAATCTTCCACCAACCTTCGATATGATAAAAAACAAACATTGATGACAATTACTGCGAATGTGCATTACAATAATTCAGGAAAACCGGAAAAAAGTGAAAACATTTTTAGACAAAAAAAATTGTTACTTGATTATAGCACGACTCTTTTTTTACCAGATGATGATGAACATAGTTTGTCGAGCATCACTTGTAATACAACACATCTTTAACACTTTTTTTTGTTGTCACTAAGTAATCAAATGATAATCGAACAAAATGAATCGAGTGGTTTTTTTGAGACGAAAAAAAAATTTCTGTCAAAAAAAACGTAGGATTTTTCATAATATACAAGACAAAAACTAGATGACTTGACCGAACGAGATAACAATCTGATCCAATTACTCGACGATGATGACTATATGATGAATCGAAAAAATAATATGGCCATTGAGCAACGACATGATGATCGCCATCATCGCTATCATCTTGAATTCAGATGATCATTCATCATCAGGATGTAGATCAAAAATGACAAAATGTCGCTTCGGTTCACAGATTCCCATAACAATTACAATAACGAGATCATGCCATTTGATTTTTATGGCGGCTTAAAAACACCTGTCAGTCGAAATGTTGCGCGTGGCTTAATGAACATATGGATTCATTGCAAATGACCATGGCAAATGATCATCGAACCATTTTATTATACAATAGTGATGGTCAAGTGTCATTTGTTATGTATGCTACAAATTAAACCGGATAATTATTTTATCCATTTATTTTGTCCTGATTATTTTTCTTTTTTTTTCTTGAAAATTAACTATGACGATCAGTCGTTGGGTGGTAAAGCAATAAAACAATATTAATATTAAGTGACAAGATGTTCAGAAAATTATTAGATGAAAATTTTCATCAATATTAACAGTTTATATTGCTAACGAAATCATTATTTTGATCATGTTCTCATAAGCTGAGATTTATTTAATTGTAATATTTTAAATTAAGCTATTGGTTGAATAATAAAGGTTGAACAAATAAAGATTTTTATCATCATTTTGTGGTTAGATTTGGAAACTATTTCATCTGATATTTCTGGAACATTTTAATATGGTCGTACAAAAAAAATGAATATGCTTATGGGCTAGATAATCAATTATGTGCATTTCTCACTTCCAAAATTTTCGTGTTCCATATAAATAGATTGATAAAGTTGTTTTTGGACTTGAGACAAATTTTTCTCTCTGTGCAGTAACTTGTACAGTATCAAAGTCTCATCTTCATCATATATAATTAAATAGTTATTAAACAGTTATTTTAGAGAAATTATACAACATAAGGTGTATTAAATATGATAATAATAATATATAATAATGGATAATTTTTCGAATTATAATACAAAGATTATTCATTATCTATAATGTTCATCATCATTTTCTCTGTCTGATAATGATGATGAACTTTTTTTTCTGTTCAATCAACGAAAAAAAAACAGTTGAGTTCCAACTCTTGACTATCAGGATGAATAAAATGGTATGGTCAAGATATGAGTGATGATGAGAAATGAAACAAATTCCACTTTTGATACGATCCTCATCCTTATTATCATCATCATCATCATCATTTTTGGTTAGTTTTATGAAACAACAAGTTTTCATAAAGTGGACACATAAAGTGACAGAGATACAGAGATAGAAAGTGACAAGATGTACCAACTTATATAATACTGAATGAACTAAAAACTTGCAGGTAAATATAAAAAAAATGAAAATGTTTTTTTTGCCATCTAATGATATAGTTATCATCATATGGAAAAAAGTCGAATAAAATAAAGCATCATGTGATGTTTATTTACAAAGCTAAATAAAAAGAAAAAGAAAAAAAAGATAAAGTTAAAAAAAGGTCAAGATTTTTTATCTATTTATTTGTTATTGGAAAAAAAAATTTATATTAAACTAAATAATCAATTGTCTTGTGGGCAAACATAATCGTAATATATGATAAATAATCAACTTTGAATTTTCAATGATTATTATATGTGTATAGGAATAGGAATTTTGTTTTGTTTGAATAATAGATTAGGAATGAAACAAAAATAACAAATAATAATTGAATCTGGTCAAAATGAATTTGCATTATTACTATCCGATATATACAAGATTATGATCAATCTAAGATCAAATATAATTTGAACATTTGCATGTGATCAATTTATGGTTACTTATAATGAAAAAATAATAATAAAGTGTGATGGCGTATCTAATATTCATGTGGAGAGCAAGGATAAAAGACTTTCGACAATTTGTCAATTCGATCATTCATGTTTCATGTTTGATATAATAATAAAAAAGAAAATATTTAGCTTTTATTATTGACTATAATATGAATCTTAATAGGATTGATGAATGAATAAATGTATTGATCAAGTCAATGTTGATATTTTTGCTTGAACAATTTCTATATATATTAAATTATTGACAGAAATGAAAATCAAAGAAAAAAAATATGAATGAATCACAGATAACATACTGCTCGTTGATTGCTAATCATATTGTGTTGATGAAAAGATGTTGGTCAAAGATATTGATCATCAACATCATAATGACCAATATTTCTATGGATCTTATATGAGCATTACAACGGATTTTTTTTGCATATTTTACCCATTCATTCAATCCATATACTGTTAGAATCCATTATAATATGTATTGATGATAATATATATGAATGATAAAAGCGCTAGAAAAAAAATGTCAATATAATCGATTTTTGATCAAGGACAAATACTTTGAACTTTTTTTTCAAAATTATGACGAATTTTGTTGTTGTTGTTGTTGTTGCATCAGTATGAATTTCGTGTTGTCGGTAAACGGTCAATCGAACAAAATGACTGTTCTTTCCTTCTTCGTGATTTTATCTTATGAAAAACGATGATAAAAATTTTTTTTTAATAAGAAAAACTAATAATGCACGCCAGCATAAACATATCATATCATCCATAATTAATGATAATGATGATTATCACAAATCATATATCGTATTATACTAAAAATATCTCTTACCTGAATTCTATATCTGTGATATTTTTCTAGGTTTTCGAATTTAAAACACAAACACACACACACATATATATAGTGTGGACAGAAAAAGAGATGATGATCCTTGTCAACAGTAAATGAAAATTTTGTTTTTTTTTCAACAAAAAAAAAACAAAATCGGCTATTTTTGCAGCCGATTAAATGAACGGTAAAAATAATTTCAGTAAAATTTTGTTGACAAAACTAAACTAGATATATTAACAATTTTTTTTTCAAAATGTTTCCCATTCATCGTCGACCTCAGTGATAACTAATAGTATATACTATAGTTTTCTCACTTTTTCATATTTTTTTTCTCGGTGATGATCACAATGATTTTTAATTTATAAATATAGTTATGAAAATTTGTCAAAACAATAAACATGAAAATAAAAATTTTAACAACAAAAAAAATCATCGGATCGGAGAGCACGAATTTGTTTCTTTTTTTTCTTTCTTGAATGAATTTCAGTTCCAACTATAAGTGTCCAATTGATCTCAATAACAATCAATTCACCTGCAGCGATAACTGTTCATGTGTGTGTATTGTATGTGTGATTGCGAACAATGCCTATTGCTTTGTTCCATTTGGCTATTATTAAAAAACATAGTGTTTAGAGTATGTGTGATATAGATTAGATATATGATGATAATAATAATAATAATAATTTTAATGTGACAAGAAAAGCCTAAAAAAACAACAACAGACAATAAAAGAAAAATTATACTGATCATTTTAGATAAAGTATAATTTGATGGTTTCATTTGATCGACAGGTGTCGTCTATGGTGTTGTGTCCACCACCACCACCACCACCACCACCACCACCACCACCACCACCACCACCACCACCACCATCATCATCATCATCATCATTGACAAAAAAGACAATGGATAGACATACAATATTCAATTACATGGGCACCCATTGAAATTTTGGATCCAGATCTAGATGATGAATAATATAAAAATACAAATATGCCAAAGGTGTTTTTCTGTCTTTTATGCATGTGTTTATATGTTTCCTTCCATTACCATTGAATGAGGAACTTGAATATTTTTTTTCATTTTTTTCTTTGTAGTTTAAAATTGAATTGAATAGAATTAAATAAATGATCATTATCAAAAAGTGTTCCATGTAATGATCAACCATAATCATTATTATGTAATTGTTATGGAGAATTTTTCTTCTCCTCTTACCATTATTATGATTATTGTTGTTGTTGTTGTTGTCGTTGTTAATCAATCCAGATGATAATGATGATGAACGGACATGATATACAAACGGAATCGTACATTTCTTTCTGTATACAATTGAAATAATAAAAAAATGTTTTGTATAACATCGATCTCATAATACAATGTTGAATAGCGGAAAACATTTAACATATATGTTGATCATCATCATTAGCCATAATGATCACGTTATATTGAATAACCTAATAACCTCAGTGACTATTAATGAATCAAGAAAATAATTGAATTAAACAAATTGAAAAAAACTATCGCTTGTGTAGACAAGTGAAATCTAATCTAATGAAAAAAAAAAACTTTCATTTTCCGTTACAAAATTTATGAAATTCAATCAATTGTATGTTTTAAAAACCAAAAATCACATCCAGACACATGTTTTCAAATTTTTTCTATCGTTTTTTATCGGTAAACGATGATATATAAAGAAAAGAAAATCAAAATAAGTTAAAATAGTGATAGGCAACAAACGTCATAGCAAAGGATTCGAATCTGATATTTTTAACACTATATATGATTCAATATATTTATATTTGGTGATAAATATAAAGTGTTGAAAAAGCGGTAGTCAATAGCAAAAAAAAATAATTTAAACTTATCATCATCGCCATTGTGGTAGTTTGATGATGAGAATAGATGATAATGATGGGAAGCTTGAACAATTTTCTTTTCTTTTTTTCTGACAATGATGATGTCCGACGACTCATTCATTCATTGGTCGAATCACACGTTTACAATTTGGGTTGTGGTTTGAATATATGAATTGTGAGATATCATTTCATTTTCTTTTTCAACTTTCATGATTTTGCGTTCATCATAATATGGATTGAAGAAAAGACGGCCGACTATGTTGTTCGTTAACGTCAGTTGTGGTCATTTTCATTTTATTTCACGCATCATAGTGATGATGATGATGAGCCAATGGAAAAGCTATTTTTAGCTAAATTATTGCGTGTATTTTTGTGGATTATCATCATATTCGATGTTGTAGGATTTGGTAGTTTTAGATGGATTAAGATGATGATTATGATGATGGATCACTACATGCACGAGCACAATAACAAGAGAAAAAAAAGAATTTGTTCAATGAAAACATTTTTTCCAATAAAACTGATTCTAATGAAAAGCCAGAGAAAATTCGAACAAATAAAAAGAATCTTGTAACTAAAAAAACAAATTCCATCTAGCCCATCAATAAATGACGTACGATAATTTGCAATTGATTTCCTAATTCTTTCGGAAATGATCGGTTCGGTCATGTAATAATAAAAAACGATAATTTCAAATCTCAACATGTATTTTATCTTTGTATGATGATGATTAATCGATCAATCATTCCATCAAAACATGGCATGCATTGTATGTACAACAACAATATTGTCTTGTCTTCGTCATATAATTGTCATTCATTGAAGCAGAAATTCGTGGCTACCGTGGTAGCATTTTAAGGGAGAAAAATTTCTAAACAATCAACAATATGATATGCAACAGATGGCTTATAAAGTGAATAATTTGTTTCAATCATCATCGAATCCATCTACATATATAATGCTGTTGTTGTTGTTGTTGTTGCTTCCGAAAAAAAGTTATGAAAAAAAAATTTCCGATAATATGTTCGCCTTAAAGATGAATGGATAGACGATTAGATGTATCCGATGTTTCTATACAAAACATAATGACCAATGAAAAAATAGAAATATTATTCGTTGTTTGTTTCAAATTGTGACTGTTGTTCCGTAACATTGGTTGCATTCAAATAGACACACAAGCAGATAAACAATGCGGCTAATGTTTTATTAATATTTGAATGTTTTGACGAAATAAACAAAACAAAAAAATTATCATTTCGAACAAATACATCAACATTCAGATAGCATATGCAGAAACATTGAAAATGATTTTTTTTGTTGCGACGTCGATTATAAAATGATCATCATAAAGGATAGTCAGGAAAAAAAATTCGAAACCGATTTCCGAGTTTCATTTATGTGTCATTATGAATCATATCTGAACTAAAAAAGTGGTTTTTTATTGATTTTTTTTTGAATTTTCTTATTTTTTCAATTTAAAATTCATATGAGAACATACAAAACAGATGAATACAATCACATTTCAAATTCGACGAGTTATTCTTTTGATTAAAAATTGCCTATCAATTTAAATAGTTGGTTCTTGTTTCAGCTGTTCATGCTCGTCATCATGATTATTATGAGAAACATTATTATGGATAGTAAATGAATCACTGGATTCAATCTGCATTGTCAACACTTCGGCAAGAACATCATCAACTAGTTGTCGATTTTGTTCCGATAAAGATTCCAGCTTAGGATGAAGATTGAATCGTTCACGAATATCATGAAATATTTGTTTCATTTGATTACGAGCTCGTGGTCTAGGTGCTGGATAATTTATTTGCATTGACCGGTAGTTTTCCTCTTTGAGTCTTTGGATTCGATCTTTAAGATCGACTATCTCTTCTTTTAATTTTAAAATTAATTCAGCATTCGGTGGAGATAAACAACCGGTATCGCCACGATCAATCATTTGAAATAGTTTCTGTTGCACACGAGTTGTTTCCAATTTTTTTTCTTCAATTTCTGATTTGAGTTTATGATTTTCATCAATAATTTTCTGTATTGAATTCATTAGAAGGGCCGAATCTAGTGTAAGATTGGTATGTTGTAAAATATTGTTATCGTTCGATTTTTTACTAATGTCGATTTGATGCTTTAAATCTTCGAAATTTTTTGTAATCAAATCAAATTTAGTTTGTAAAAAATTTTGAAAATAATCTAAAGAATTAACCGATGATCTATTTGGATTATCATCTCGAAGCTGTTGATCATCATTGTGAATTTCTTCAATTTCATTTCTGGTTGTTGAACGTTGAATATCTGCAGTGTTTTGAATTTGTTGGATTAATGGAAAGATTGGCATAGCTCCGATTCGTGACATTTTCGTTGCTAAATCTATACTCTTATCTTTTGTTTCAAGAGTTTCGGATGATGATTGATGACTAGATTCTAGATTTGTTGGTTCAACTGCTTCAAAACCGACCATTTCGATTTCTATGGCTATTTTCCAGATTTTATCTTGTTTTTGTTTAACAAATTTGTCAAGCTTTTCAATCGGAATGATTTTTCGATAATGATCAAATTGTGAGTATGGTATGACAAGGTAATAACGATCACCAGGATTCTTACAAATCCATTTGAATAATTGCCGGTTATCATCTTTTAATGCACATCGATGTACAGATTCTTCAAGCCAAATGGCAGAGCCTCGAAGATTAGAATGCAAGGAATAATTCTGTTCGAACGCAGTAATTTCTAACCGAAAACAGATCAAAGTATTCATCAATTCGTATTTTTTACTCCAATCATCATTGAGTTGTTCATGAAAACCTAATGGTTGTTTAACTGAAATGTCACCATTATCACTATGTTTTATGAATCGAACGGAAAACAAACAATGAGCAAGATGGCGACAAAATTGACATACGTCGGAATGACTGCTAAACAATATGGACCATTTTTGTCGTTGGTCATCCTGAATAAGGCAATAATTTTTTTGCTGACACTATGAAAAAAAAATAATGAATGATAACAAATGAAAAATACAAAATTGTTAACAACTAACAAGAAAGGGAAAATTTTCCGATATTGTAGCCGAACAGATCGGCTGATTTTTGGCCGTATATAAAATAATTCGATATAAAGATTCTTGCTCATTACCGCACAATGCAAGTCCAAATTTTCCTACATAAGAATATTGTGAATTTTCACTTTTATAAAGAACAAAGTATGATTATAAAAAAAATTAAATAAAAAATCATTAAAATCTTACAATTTATAAACATCGACGGCAAACGCAATAAGAACAGTCAATTTCGATCCAGAAGAATTTGAAGCAGATGACGATCTCCGAGATGATTTTTCTTCGGTTTTTTTATTTTGTTTTGGTTTGTAAAATAAACGAGATTTTGAATCCTCAATCAAATTATTATCACCATCATCATCAAATATGTTGGATAATTTGCTTTTACTTTTGTGAAAATGAAGTTTTTAAAATTAAATTCAACACAACTTAGTCATTTATTGGAATTTACCTTTTCATTATCTCGACTTCATCATCATCATCATTTGAATCTAATTTAAGCATTTTTAAAAAATTTATCACATTATTTGAGAAATTGCACAATTAAAAAATACACCCAGTAAATCAAGTTATAAACAAAGAAATAAAACTTTTAACGAGTACTCATCAACAATGGCAAGTTTTTTCGCCAATATTGATGAAAATTTACAAATTTTTGGAAAGTACTCGCCACTGTTACTTTCTTTTCGATGCATCACATGTGATGAATTGTGTGAAAAAACAAGCTCAGATGGCGCTTATAACGAATTTTCAGAATTGAATCATTAATGCATAAATGTCCATGACATTTGTTCCAGTTATTCCGCTTCGAATTAGACATTCTGGTGCATTTTCGAGCCAAAAATTATACGAATCATGATTAACCAATGATTGCTTCCAAGTATTAGGAGATTTAAATGGCCACTTTAATTGAACTCCGCTCACTGGTGTCGGACCATCTTGGCCATCAGTTCCGGCAAACAGAGCGTAAATTTCAGGACCAACCCAACCAAGACTATCCATTTCATCTAGAAATAATATACCCATTTCTTGACATCGACCACCGATTCCTAAAAAACAGAGAGAAAATTTTAAAGATTTTAGTTTGAATAGTTTAATTTTACGGACCTAATTTTCTTGTTTGATCCATACGAATGGTAGCCTCCCCACCAGCAAGCCATACAATTCCTTTGAATCGAGATCGATCTTCTGGTACAAATTTATAATTACGGATCATTCCTATAAGTTTACGAACGATCGACCGTGCTTCACCTGAAAGCCCTGAACCTAGCATTACAACTTTAAAACCGAAATTTTCAGCTTGTATTTTTGCTTCATTCAATGCTATAGAATTGCTGCCGATAATTACGTTGGTTAAATTGATTCTGGGCAGCATTTCTCTGTGCTCGGTAGTGATTTGTTTACTGATTCTTTCTTCGAATTTGAGAGAATATTTTCGCAAAACTTCTTCCGGTTTCAATCGAGCTGACTGTAGGACAGTAGGACCACTGGCAATCATTTCGATTGGGTCACCAATAATATCACTAATGATAAATGTGAACAATTCTGAATGCACATTCCATTCAAATATTTGTTGTGCAAGTTTTCCATGTTTGACACTTGATAAACAACTTCGTATCGAATTCAACTCGATAATGTTTGCACCGTGTCGTACCATTGATGTGATGACATTTAATTTATCTTGTATCGAAATCGATTCTTTAGGAAGCGATAACAATGCTGAACCACCACCAGATATGAAGCCTATGACTAATGGATTCGAGTGCTGAGTTACATGTTGGCGAAGTTTTTGCATTAATTCTTTGGTACTTTGGACAGAATAATCATCGGGCATATTATTTCTTCCACATTCCTGATAGATAGTGTTGTATTTGGAGAACAAATGTGGTTTTTCAACAGTTGAACTAAAAGGTATGTTTAAATGACCTTTGACTCTAATTGATAATTGAGTATTATCGATTTGTTCCAACAATTCTTGACACATTCCCACAATGGCTTTTCCTACAATTATGGATAATTTTGAATGATATGAACACTTTTTATCCAAAACTTACCGGCCCCGAACAGGAATACATCACGATCGACCATCCGAATTTTATGCCATTTTAGCTGATCGCTATCGGCCTGTCTCAATCGAATATTCAATATACCATCTTGAGATTCGAATCGAATGGCCGATCGAATTAATTGTTGAGGTAATACAGCATTGACTGCCGAAGTAAAAATCTGATTCAAAATTTGGACACTCGGTTTCGACATATCGCAAATAAAATACGATCCTATCGAGTTCGTATAGCCACTTTGTGCAAATAGAATGAAATCGTCAAAAATATTTATGCAAACATCTGTTTCATGTTACAATTCCAAATTAATCAATCTAGAATTGATTTTTATAAATTAAATTTTGTGATACAGTAGCTCCCTTGAATGTGCACACATGAATCTACATTTTTTGAAAAAACAAAATAAAAATTGGAGTTCCAAATTCATCTCCATCATTCTTAAGAGTGACAGACTTTAAATAAATTATTATGGCTTGTCGTAGTCACAATGAAACTTTTATTCTTTTGAGAAATAATGCTCAAAAGAATCGTTCTTTTTACCGAGATGTAAGTCTGTTTAGTTGTTATGTACTAGTTTTTTTTAATTTATCAATTCTTTAAAAGTTTAATAAAGATGATGAACGTGTCAAATTAGTCGGAGATAATGGCGACGATGATGAGGAGATTTATGACATGGAATTGACCAATAATAAGATTCTCGTATGTCAAAATGTCGAACTAGTTCATGATGTAGCATTTCCTTCATGGATATCTTCATTGGATGAATTCCGTTATGAGTCTTTCTATATACGAGATAAAAGTATAGTGACATATTGTTATATCTAAGATTTACATATAAATTTTTGTCCATTTTACAGTTGAACAATTGAAAAAAACTCAATTAGAACATCTTAAACAGCAAAGTACAGCCATATTTGCCGATGATGTGGCCAATGAAAAACTGAAAGATTACGAAATGGAAATCGATCGCCGATGTCAAGATCTAAACGTATTATTCAATCGGCTTCATTCGATCGTGATGCATTTTAAAACACTGAAAAGTTATGGCCAGATGAATGGCAATTTGAAACAAACACAAACTCAAGCTCGAATGGTATCAAATATTTTGAAAAACATATTCCAATATCAGGTACAAGAAGTCGTTGCTCTTACTCAATTGTTTCGGTCTTGTCAACGTGTCTATTTCGAACGACGTAATGAAGCAACAAAAGTTGATCCTGAATTTGTCATCACATTTGATAGCGATCTATTGGAAAAAGAATTAAATAGTGATAATCGATTTGTGAAAACTTCATTCGAAGATGATACTGTTTTTTTCGCCAATAATAATGATAATCATAATCAAATGCAACAGCAGAAACAGTTACAGATTTCATTGAATGATCAGATCAAAATAGATCAATCTATTAATGACCATCTTTATGAACGTGAACGTGAAATGAATTCAATAATGAAATCATTTGTTGAATTGAACCAATTATTTCAAGAAGTTCAAACACTTGTTATTGACCAAGGTTCAGCATTGGATAGGATTGATTACAATATTGAACAAGTTGAACATAAAGTCGAATTGGGAGCAGTAAGTCTTGAGAAAGCACATCGAAGCATTAGTCGTGTCCGTAAATTAAAACTTATTCTTGGCGCAGGTCTTTTTTTATTTCTCTTGTTTATATTTCTTATCATAAGGTCTTGATTTATTTATTTTTTTTCAAATTAACACACATATGATACAAACACTACTCATCATCACTTTTCATTCCAATAATATATCAAAGTCAAAAATTATTTATTTTTTCCCATTCATTTCGTTTATTATTTCTCAAATTTTTTTTTATTATTCAAGTAATAAATTGACACAATTTTATTTGTTCAAAAAAAAAAACAGTTTTGAAATGTTGACTTCACAGTCTTAATAATAGTAAATTTCACCAATAGATGGAGAACGATTTTCAAAATTATTTTATTTTTGTATTGAACAATTGCTAAAAATTGACATTTTGATCATTTTAAAAATTAAAATGCAGCTATAGCAACAGATTCAATATATATCTATAGATTTTATTCACTATGTTTTTATCAGTCCTAGCTTTATTTTCAAATTTTTTTTTGCAGCCTAACCTATATCTCTTTTTTTTCTCGTCCCACACACACGAAAAAAGTTTATCACTGCTTAGAATTGACAGATACGATGACATTCGACAGTCATCTGAAAGAGAGAGTGTGTGTGTGGGCGATAGATGATGGTTTATGATAATAAACAGATATAACTATAAATTAAAAATCTGATACAACTAACCTAAGTTGAACAGAGTGACAATTTTCTATAATCATGATATTCAAACAATTTTTGATGGTCAATACATAGACTGCTTGACGACGAAGATGATGGTGATGATGCTGGTGTTGATGATGTTGAACACAACAAGACGATTCAATCAATCATTCAGTCATTCGAATGAAAACTGTTTGTTTTTTTCCATTAAATTTTTCAGACAGGTGAAAAAAAAACTAAATTTGATTTCCAACTTGAAACAGTTCATCTTTTTTAACAAATACAAAAGATTTTAATAGAAATATAAAGAGAAAAAAATGAAAAATGATCGGAAATGATGGTCATAACTGTCCGATATTATTATGAATAGCAATAACAATAGCAATAATAATAACAACGATTGGCAAATAATTTGTTTAGGAAAATTTACCTAGATGATTTTGCAAGTTTTTTTAAATGATGATGATCATCATCGTCATTATCTAGAGAATAAGAATTCAACATATGGATGATTATTACTACAAGATTGTTATAAAAAAATTCTGCTGAACCAAAAAAAAAACAGCAAAGAAATCATAAAAGCCGGATGCCTAGATCGAATGACTTGGTTATTATCATTTTATATTCGTTTTTTTCTTCTTGCTAGAATATGCGAAAGAATGGCAATATTCATCAAAGGTCAAAGGTTATATACGTTGATGATGAGAATATTCATCATCTGAAATCTTGACATTTGAGAAAAAAATCGAAACAATAAGCTTGTTTGTAATATTGGCCATTTGTTTGTTTGTTTGTTTTTGTTTTTGTTTGACGTTTCGAATTGAATCCGCGAATCGAAGAAGTCAATTATGAGAATCATGTTTATGTGTGTGTGTGTATGTGTTTGTGTGTAAAGACTTGTTACTTGTAAATTGAAGAACCGACCAATTTATAGTGCACTCATCTCGATAATATAAAATTATCGTCGGCAAACATGTATCAAACAAACAAAATGCAATGGTCAATACCATTTAAACTTACCGAATCATTTGAAAAAAAAATTTGTTGTCAAATGTTACGATGTCTATCTTTGTTTTGTGTTGTGTGTGTGTGTGTGTGTATGAATGAATTTTATTCCTTCAAACATTTTGAAATTTTTCTTTTTTTTACGACAACGCAGAAGCTTTCTCTTTTCTCAGTTTGTTTTAAAATCAATTTTTATGGATACAATCAACTTTTGTTTCAACTGATATGATGAAAATATTCATGCATGTTTTTCGTTTTATTTATTTCAAAATAAAATTTTTCATCATTTTTTTCCTATGTTTGTAGTCAGATTCAACAAAAATGTATTGATTGTTTAGTTGATTTAACGGATGATGATTCATCACCAAATCGATCAACCATAATTCATAGGTATATAAAACGGAAAAAAATACACAACTGCATTACATGATGATGTTGTAAAGTTATAAGCAAAGGTGGCAATAGAGTAGGTGGAGAGTATTGCCATTTAGTCTGGTTAATAGCATCCCACATTGGCTACATATTCCATCCTGATTGGCTGTTGCCCATTTGTTTTTGCTATTTTTTTTGCAATTCAAAGTTTTTTTTATATATTTTTATTATAGTCTTCAATGCCAATGGCAAATAGTCAAATTCAATCAACCAAGATAGGAATGGCCATTCAGAGCAATTTAGGTAGATTTACACTCTCAGGCATCATCACATCAAGTTTTTCTTTCTTTTTTTTTACTAAACTTTGGCACGTACTCGAATCGAATCGAAAAAGAAGAAAAAATTGATTCAAGTTTGTTGTCGTTGTTATCTTTTTTGCCTATGGCCATTCACAAATTTTATTTTATTTTGTTTATTTTTTTTTATATTCATTATTTCTCCTGGATTGAAAGATTACATTTGAACATAAACGTCACATGTATGTGACCATAGTATATTCTGATTATAACAAGATATAAAATGTTTGAAGAATCGTGTATTATGATGACTATGAGCATACATACAAATCAAATTAGATTCATGATTAGATAAATAATTAAAGAAGAACCCACGCACGTGCTTGATTTTTTGTTGTTGTTGTTGTTGTTGAATTGAATCAAAATGGTCAATCTAATCTACAATCAAGTTGGCAAATCGATTTAGCTTATAAGAAAAAACTTTTTTTTTCTTGCTTTGTTTTCCGTTCTTGATATATTATTGCAAACGAACATAAAGTGATTTTGATTTGAAAATGAATAATTCTTTTTTACTTTCTACATTCTCTTTTTTTTGCCCATTTTGAAAACCAGATACACTTTAATGTCTTGGCGAAAAAGACCTCCATGTTGAAAACCAAACAAACAAACAAAAAATTGAAGAAAAAAAAATAGTTTACAAAAAAAAGAATTGATCATTTTTCATTGCCTTGATTCAATTAGACTAGATCTGGAGAAAACAAAGAAAAATTTTTCAATTTGAAATTCATCATGATATATGTATTAAAATCAATGGAAACGAAAAACCCCGCACACACACACACATATATATCATCATCATCATCATAAACAACCCGATCATTTGAACAATAAAATTCAAAGACTTTGATCGCTGTCGTGGGCATAACACCCGAACCTGAAAGACGCCCAATATATAAAAACATAAACAAGCCACACATTGATTCGATTGATGATGATGATGATGATCGTGGTGGTGGTGGTGGTGTATAATCATTTCATCGATAAATATATAAAAAAAAAGAAAAAAAAAGAGAATCTTTCATCAAAATCAATCAATTTTTCTTTCACTCTTGTTCAAAATTCAATTTTAAATTTCAAACAAATTGAAAAGAAACAAATAAATGTAACCATCCATTAGCATCATCATCATCATCATCAATATGTGATATTTGCTATTGTGATATAAACTTTGCTCGATCAATCAAATTATCTAGAATGTATTTTTTTTCATACTATAAGAATTACAAAATTAGAATTTTGTTCAGAATTAAACTACATTTAAATTGGATTTTTTTTCATAATTATTAATGTTATGTTATAATTATTATATGTCTCATTGAAATGTCTACATTAGATGATGATAGTAGTAGAGAAACGTTATCATGAGCCGCCATCGTTGATTTAATATATTAGTTAGAATATATTTTTGTTTGATAAATAACAATGTCTATAAAAGAAAATTGAAAATTAATCAAGTTGTACATTCAGTGGTTGTTTGTTTTCGTAATACAAAGACAAATTTTGATTAAATAATAATAATAATAATTATTATTCGATTATGAATTATGGTTATGATCATATATATCATTTCCTTGAATCATAAAGATGCGAAACACTGTAAACATTATTGAATATATGGAATCATCGATATGGATGTCCACAAACACACACACACACACACATTTATATAAGCATCAAATATCGATCGAAAATATGGAAAAAAACACTTGTTTTTTCAATGTTTCAACAGATATACACTTATATGCGTACATATATAAGCCATTTTTGTGTCTAAGAAATACAGAGTATACTGATAATTGTAATAATCGATTGATTGATCCGAAATAAGATCGATATGATTTATGTATAACATTATTTGACAAATTTTTTTTATTATTATTACTTCGATAACACGACCACTTGTTGTTGTTGCCATTTGATGTGTGTGTGTGTGTGTGTATTGGTGTTCATCCATATCTTCGTTGATGATATTTTTTTTCTGAATATTTTCCTCTGTTCAAATCGGTTTGGATCATGATAATATCATCATGAAGACGACTATCGCCTTGATTTTGATTAGAAACTAAAAAAAAAAAAAAAAATAAAAGAAAAGATTTCCTCACCATTCAGTTCATATATGAAGTGAAAGAAGTATCCCTTCTTTTTTTGTCATTTCATATTGATTCGATTCAATATATATTCATTTTTGATTTCAACGATATTGGCTAAAAAATAAAATCGCCAATCAAACGTGATGATATTATCACTAATGTTGTGTGTGTGTGTGTGACGCTATGATGTTTGTATATTATTGAATGAATCGATTTTACTTTCTCTCTATTAGATTTGATGATAAACGAAAAAATGGTGTCGCTAAAGACGACGAAAACAACAACAACAACAACAACAATCATCAGATCATTCAAATGTTTTAGAAAATAATGAAAAAATGTGCAGATTTTGATTTCGTATTGAATTTGACCCAATTTACCTGTTAGCCATTTTTAATCAATATTTTTTTGTGATAAATCAATCAATCAATATTATTCTAATCAGAATATATTGAATCTCCCGGAAAAAAATGTTCAAAACATATGTGTGCATGTAATAATAATTTGACTTTCTAAAGTTTTTTTTTATTGAACTGATGATAATGAAAATTTGTGACCAACCAACGAAACAAATACAATACATGTATTGCCGTAGAAGTTGGTGTAAAAAGCATTTTTCAAGAAAATAAGCCTGAGGCAAAAGTTTTTTACAAGTGCATAGCAATAATAACAACTATGATATTTATCTACTGAAAAACCAACCAACAAGCAAACAGAAAAACTAAAAACACAAAACGAAGCTTCAAACGATTCTCCTCTGTTTTGATTGTGTTCGCATTTTATGTATATTCGAGTGTGGGTTTGTTATCTATCTGTATTCAGACAATGTTTAAGATTCAATGATGACCATCGATGTGGTATATACCTGCTTATTGGTTACAACGGCACAGCCTACTACCTACCTACCATGCATAAATCTCGTTATCGGTATCATTTCTCGATGACCACTAGCAACTTGGCTTCAAAGTTCCAAACACCACAAATTTATACACATACTCACATAGTTACCAACAAGATTATCATAGTCTTCAACCATTGTTAATGGATCAAACTTGTGTTAATGCTTGCATCAATCCACATTACCCGGCCATCAATACACAAAGCAATCATCAAGTGTTGTGTTTTCAAAAAAAAATTATGTTTCGTGATTTGGATTTAAATTCGAATGATTCAAGCAAAACATTTTTTTTGTTGGCTCAATTCAGATTATCTATGTATAGTTTGCGAATGCGTCGTTTATTAATTTTGAATTGATCCGGCGTTTTTGTCAGTGATTTGTGTGTGCGTGCGATGGTTTTTTTTTGTTGGCACATTGGCTATATCGTTATATTCACTGCTTTATGAAACATTGCATTGTATCCATTCAATGTAATCAACGATTCGTAAGTGTGTATAAAACAATACATTTTGAGACATTTATTTCATGTAAAAACTAATGCAGACAGTTTTCATCGCACATTGTGAATAATAAATTTTTTCATCATTTGAAAACATGCTATCATATATCATTGTGAAAAAAAAGAACATTTCCATCGTTTTTTGAAATTTAAAATTAATTTAATTTTTCTTCTTTCAAATCAACAGCTAGTTTCTTTTCATTGCAGTCTATTATTTGTTTTGTGAAAATATAACTAATTTAAAATTTAATTTTCTGTTACTCATCGCTAGAGAGTGGAGTGTGTATATAAATACGTTCGTTTTTGAATGTTTTTTTTTTTTTGTTTTGTTTTAATTGTTGTTGTTGTTCAGCTCTAAAATATTCATTTTAACCTTGAAAACATTCTTACAAATAATCAAATAAGCTGTGGAACAAAGTATTGAATCCAAAAATCAACGAAAACCAACAAAAAAAAAATCTTCATTTAACAACTAATTTTGATCCAAATGCTTAAGGTATGTATGTGATATGATTTGTTTTTTATACATTTTTTTCCTCTTTTTTTTTGATCGCCAAAATCGGTCGCTATTGATCGATCGATCGATGATGATATCTGAAATCAAATCCAAATACGTTAAACAAACGTGAAATATGTGTTTTGAACCCCCCACCCCACAAAATACACGATTACTATAAATGATTGATAAGTTACATCAATATATACACTGTGTGTGTGTGTGTGTGTTTGATTTAGTTTGATAATTAATGGATTGCCTTTTTATGAACATCCTTAAAAAATTATATCCATTTTTTTCTACAATGTTTTTGAAATTGTTTGTTTATTCAGTATTACGTCGCATCTTTATTCATTATACTTTGATCATCATTTAATTTGACAGATGAAAATTTATTCTCCAATCATTCACATTTGGTATATATTATATTTACATTACAATTTGATTATGTAATAACATTTTTGACATTCTATATCAAGCTTTCTTCTTCTCTCTCTCTCTTATAATTTAAGCGTCTATTTTCTTGAAAATAATAAACAAAAGAATTTACATTCAGATTTTTCATGAAAAACACTTTCAGGCCTTGTTGTTTATGATGATGATGGCAGCAATCAGAAAAAAAATCTGCTTTCATTGTCGTCAAGCCGTCATATTTTATTGCCAATATCTCAATATAAAAAATGTTCCATAACAACAACTATAACTCATACATACATTACATTGTCCCAATAGAAAAAAAATAGAGTCCCATTCTATACATTTTTCTTGTTGTTGTTGTTGCTGCTGCTGTTTATAGGTATTCCCTTCAAATAAAATTTCTAATTTCCTTTGGTCATTGAATTGATTGTATTCAATAATAGTGGTCATATAAAATTGACATACACAAACACACAGAGATTTGCAATGCTTTAACATTGATAGTGAAATCGTTACCGGGCTATTGGGAAAAGGAAGCGATTTTTTTTTCACTGTATTCTGATAGAGTTTCAAATCGATATTATTCATTATGATGATTGTAGTTGTGGTGGTAAAATAAATTTATCGTATGGTTTGTTCATTTGGCCACCACACACATACACACCCCTGCTGGCTTTTTTTTTCTTAGTTTTCTGCATGGTACTTTTCCTACTTTGGCCTTCGAACTTTTGGTCAAAAGCTGACCACATTTATTTAAATATATCAAAAATGGCAGGTTTCAAATATTTTTCTTGTTAGTTTGTGGTTGACATACACAAACATACACTTATTGATGGCCAATTTTGAAATCAAATCACTACATATAAAGCTCATAATGTCAAAATTTCTAAAACCACACACAATGTAAATACGATTAACTGGAATTGTTGTTTCAAGAAAAAAAAATCCAATTTTCATTATTCACTTTTAAAATTTTCTTTCTTTTTTTTGGTCGGAAATTAACCTGATTAGTCAATCGATTGACGATTCAAGTCAGATCGTTATTAAAATTTTGAAACTTTGATTAAATAAAATAAATGAATGAATTAATCTCAATGGCTAGGAATCAACCTAAGAAATTAAAAAAAAACTTTTTTGAATGAGTGACGAGGAAAAATTGGTTTCAAAATACCTTTCACAGTCACTTTTACGTTCATCAAAACATAGCCTGAAAAATAGGAGGTAACCTGAGATATAATTACTTGGCATATAATTTTTTTTTGCCTATCCAAATGAAATAAGCCAAAAGAAAAAAAAAATCTGATAAACACACCTGTGAAACATTTTCTACAAATGTAAAAAAAATTCCCCTCTACATTTGTCGCTGTAATAATAATAATAATAATAATAAATGGACCCTTGCGTTAGTAGTGATTTCTAGCTCGGAAAATTTACCTCTTTGTTGTAGTCGATGATGAAGATGATTGTATCGGCTATTCGAATTCACATTCAATTTAGTGTAAGTGTAAATGTGTGTGTGTGTGTGTGTGTAAGTGAATGCCGCAAAAGAAAAAAAAAGTCATCAATCGAACGTGAGAGAGAATCATTTATGAAGATTGACACCCAATGACCAAGAATACAACGCGATCAGGATTTGAAAATTAAATGACCATGTCAAATGGAAATGGAAAAAATACCGATATTATTATTATAATCATCATCAACGGGAACCAAATAAAATCCGGTTTGTAGTCGATCAATTTTATATTGATCAAATGATTTATACCTTATTCAATAAGATAGTCAATAATATAATATCAATGACACGATTTTTATACTATAAACATTTTAAATCTGATTTCAGACTCAATGTTGAGCAAGAACAGATCGACCTGCAAGGTCGAAAAAAACATTTATCTTAGAATTGTCAAAACTCAAGTTAAACAAAGGTCCTTGATTTTGAGCTCAGTATTTAATGATTATTTAATTGCATTTGATTTGACTCGCTATTTGTAGAAATAAATGAATGTAATTCTTTGCGAAAAACGAAAATATTCAAAATATCTGGGTATTTGGTGAAATATAATAAAAGAAGAAGCTATATTCTGTCATCACCATTGATCGATTTTTTTTTTCTCTTGATAATTTATTTAGGCTTATGAATAATCCGAAATGCCATTTTGCAATTTTGAATTGCATGGTGATAGTTTGTTATGGTTTGTTTGTCATCATCATTTTTTTGGAAGATAAGCCAAATCGAAATATTTATCGAGAATAACAGATTTTTCATGCATGTGGAACTTTTATGACACTCCTTTGTTAACGATTCTGGAATTCATTTTCGTAAAATTTTATTGCACATATCTCACATAACAATGTTGTTGACGACTATCATGAAAATGTGACCTTATGAAACGAGTTTCGAGATGTTCAGGAACATAATAAAATTTATATTATTATTATTATTATGGTGATAATGACTGAATCTCATTAATTCTGTCTTACTATCTTGGCAAATTGATGATAATTGAATTCAGTTGAATCGAACAAATTTACACTTACATACATCTGGCTAAAAATTACAAATAGCCAGAAAAAAACCAACATAAACAACAATGAAAAATCCGAAAAAACTAGATTCTTTTGGTGATTTATTATTGATAAATATTGATAGAATTTGCATTTTTTGTCGTTTTACAAATGAACTTAAGCCTAAACCGATAAAAAGCAACCAGGCTTCCATTTAAAATGTTCCTATTTATATTCTTATTAAATAATCACGAATTTGAACAACCATAATCGATACATATAAACATTATATACGCACGAGCAAATGTGAGACATAAACATAAATGTTTAAATCGAATGTTTTGGCACACGACGATGACGACTAATATCAATTGAAAACACATACACATTTACTATCATCACCATCGATCAAATGATGATGATCAAATTTGATCAAGACCAAACACATTCGAATGATGCCAAAAAAACACACACAAAACTCATATATTTATGTGCATACCCTATTGAAAGATTTAAATGAAAGAACGGATGCAGAAGTCCATGAAATAAAAAAAAATCTGTTTACAAATTTGTTTTTTTTTTAATTCTCTGGTTGATAGATCTAACTATCGCAATTGATACCGGTAATTGAAACCAAAAAGAAAAAAGTTCTGGTTCTGGTTATGATGATGGTGGTTATTACGTTACCAAATTTTACCAACCACAGCTACATCATACATCATTCATTTAATAACCAGGAAAAATAGAAACAATCAAAGGGTTAAGTGGAACGATGAAATCTGGTAGGATAGTAGTACAACTATATGTCTATGATTGTGTCTGGCATTTACATTGAATAATGAAATAAAAAAAAAAATTTTTTTGCTTTAGTTGAAACAATAAACAAAACTAAAATAAAAAAAAACACGATGATGATAATCATCATCCTTATGAGCCATGAATTTGAAATGAGCTATATTTCATTGGAAATTCACTTTTTTCAGATGACAGATTCAAAAAATGAGATTGTAAATAATAGCTGAAACAAATCAAACAAAGGGGGGAAGAAAAGCTTAGTTAATGAAATGGCCTGTTTTGGTTTATGATTATGATATTATTATAGTTCAGTGGAATCGATTTCATCTATTCAACATGGCATTGCATTGATGCATTTTTTATTTTATTTATTGACTGCTACCATTGTAATAATATATAAAAGACAAAATATTCAAATTTTGAAACGACATTTACGATTTGTTTATGATCAATAAATATTGAAATCACAATAACAATATCAATCATTTCACATCCATCATCAGATTGATTAACTAATCTTTTTTCTTTTTTGAATTCATTTTTATTATCGAACCCATAGGTCACATATATTTGTCATCGACATGCTTGTCGAGGGCAGGGACATAACATTTTTCCTCCTGAAACGATTGGCACAAAGCATACCGGTTGCTTTTGCATCATCATCATTATCATCAACATCTTCATATCCATTGCCATCGCTTTCATTGATTTGTTATCCGGATGTTTCGTCGCCGATCATAACCAATCATCACAACTGTGAAACAACGACAAATAAAATTGATGCCCAACAGAATCTGCTCAGTTTGTCCAAAGACAAATCGATTATTAAGAATCAATCGTCAACAGATCCAACAACGACAACAAGGTCTTTCATCAATCATTCATCGATTATTTCCCGTTCCATTTGTAAATTTCCACCACTACTTTCAACGTTTATAATTATAATTCATTTGCTCATATTAATTCCATCATCAACAGCATCTTACACATCGTCATTCAAATTGTTATCATCCATTTTCATTAACCTTTGTATAATATTGTGCATCAAATATTTATTATATTTTTGTTTTGATCAACTTAAAACATCATTATCATCATTATTGTTGCTGTTGTTGTCGTTTGTTCATCATCATCATCATCATCATAATCATCATTCATTATCAAACCAAAGTCAAAGGGTGAATTATAATAATCTGGTCAAAATTGAAAGGACGGCGGCCGTATCATTATTATCATTTTCATTGTCTCGAAAACAAATCATACGATTGATTCTAATTGCGATGGTTTCGTTGACGATCTTTCGTGCCGACGTTCATCCAAATCATCAATCATCATCACCATTATTATTATTAACAAATAGAATATTCGTCAATGCCGAATCTGTATCTGTTGCATCTTCCGTATTTGATGAATCAAGTCACAAACAAGTGAACGATAATGATATACATTCCAGAAATACTAATGGATCACCATTATCGCTATCATCATCGATAAAATTCGATAGTGAGCATTTTCAACGTGTTGAACGACAATTTTTAAGCATGATGGGCATATCGAAAAGACCAAATCCAGCCAAACATCATAAGGTACCTGAATATATAATTGATCTCTATAGGTGGTTTAAACAAAGTACCGATCAAATAGCACATTCTAAACAAGAAGATGAATTAAATAATGATCAAGATGATGAAAATGTTGATAATAAAATGCAATCAAATTCATTGATTGGTTTAACTACCGAGGATTTGTATGATATTCAAAATTCGTTGCCTCATAATCACAATGATTATGATGGCCCTATTGAACATCATCGTCTCATACGACGGCGTCGATCCACACAATTCTCACGTGTGACATTACAAGGTCCATCAACAACAGTAATTAGTCACAAGACATCATCATTATCAACACATCTTACGACGTCTATATCTAAAGAAGATGGTAAGTATTTTTACTCAAATTATTGATTATTTTTCTGTTCAAAAAAATTAAAATGAATGGAATTTATTTTTCCTATTTTTTTTCCGTGATTTAGATCATGAAAAAGAAAGACCTGAATCGCCGTCTAACATTGACAATAAGGACGCAAATCAAAAATATTCATCAAAACATCAAACACCTATAACTCATCTGAAATTTAAAATCCAACTACCCAGTGATGAAACATTGACTGGAGCTGAATTGCGTCTCTATCGCCACTCTATACAGGAACATGAATCATCATCAAAAATACAGCCAACAATAATCGATAATGATTTAACAAGAAAAAGTTTGTTATCTGCGCATAATAAGTTCTGGCCATCCACATATCAATCATTATCGACGATGGTAAAATCGACTACTTTCGACAATAGTCATCCAATAATATCGAAAGTTAATAATTCTCTCTCGAATTCCGGTGAAGAGTATTCAACACATTCATCATCTGATGTTAATGATAACCATCGATATCTACAGCGTGTCAATATCTATCATTTATTACGACCATTATCTAAAGATGATCAACAACAAATGACAAGTGAGACCATTCTGAAGAGATCAAAATTGATTGATACACAAGTGATTGATTTACGTGATTCGGGTTGGCTTAGTTTTGATGTATATCCAGCCGTTGAATGGTGGCTAAAACATCCAACGGAAAATTATGGCCTATTGATCACCATTAAAGATCTTGATAACCGACGTGAATCATTAAATTCCCATTTGTTCGTATTTAATTCTGGCCAAGTGCAATCGGCAACAAGTGAACAGCAAAAACATCAACAACAGCCAGAAATCGATGAAAATCATGAATGGCATGAGCTACAGCCTTTGATTATAACATTTTCAAATGATGCACAAACGCACCAACATTATCTTTTGAGTCAGGAAAAGCTATTGAATCGATCTAAACGTGAACGAAAAAGAGGAGGAAGTGGAGAAATGGGAAATGGTCAATCAAATAATTATGGCCAACAACGATCAAAGAAGAAAAATCATAAAAATAGCTCCAGAAGACGTCAATATTGTCGCCGATATAAGATGTATTTCGATTTTAAAGATGTAGGCTGGATGGATTGGATCGTTGCACCTCCTGGTTATCAGGCATTCTATTGTAAAGGTGAATGTTCATATCCGATGTCACAACAGATGAATAAAACGAATCATGCCATCATACAATCGCTAATCAATTCGGTCAATCCTGCTGTCGTACCAGAGCCATGTTGTATACCTACTGATCTATCATCTGTGACGTTACTATATCTGGATCATAAAGAAAAAGTGGTGCTCAAAAACTATCCAAATATGGTTGTCGAAGGATGTGGTTGTAGTTAGAAAAAAATAATAATTCCATATGAGTTGGCAAAAAAAAACGGCGAAAAAAATCTGAATACCATAATAAGACAATCTGAGATATATTTTCTGTATTATTATGATTATAAAATTTTGAATGGAAAAAAAATGATAAATCTCATTGTTCTTGTTCGAAACCTCCATTTTGAATCACAAATTCACTACTAATTAAATTATAAATACGCATGAAACACAAGCGTACCCACCTAAACCAATGAAATAAATACATCAATTCCATATTAAAAAAAAATGCACAGATTAAGAAAAAGATTTATAATCTTATTCTCATCAATGAAGAATCATTATCATCATCATCATCATTTTTTCGAGTTAATGAAGAATAATTCAAAATATATTTTTTCGAATGGCAACCATTATGATTATTATTGATTATTATAAATATTTTTTAATTTTGATGATTGTCCTTGTTTTACATAAATTATTATTGATTATTATGAATTTTTTTTTCTTTTCTTTATTTATCTTTTGTAATTTTTTTTTCTCAAGATTCATAAAACCAACACACCCGATCACACAAACATGAACTCACACACATACAACAAAAAAAAAAAAAAAAAAAATCTTCGTCTACTATCATCACCATCACAATACATCGAACCATTGTCGATAAAATTTTCGAATAAATCACAACAATCAATGAACATATATATTTTGTCACAAGCTGTAATTAGAAATGAATCGTAAAGAGAAAGAGAGAGAAAAAGCGAGTTAAAAAAAAATTAAAACTTTATATCATCATATATTTATATATGAATTGGTTTTTTGTTTGATTTATGAGAATCAAGTATACTAACTATGGAAATGCTTGTATGTTTTTGTATAGTGTTTGTGTTTTTAAAAACGGAAACGAAAAAATTTTTTCCAATTCAAAAAAGGCTATGATTATCTGACCACTCAATCATTCCTGAATAGTTATATGTCGGCACAAGTCAACTCAGTTTTTGAATAGACTAAAAATTCGAATAGGAATTTCACTCATTTTTTTTTCTTAGTGACCGAAATATCAATCAGAGCAATAATTATGTCCATTTTTTCTGTTATGATGATCATCAACAATTTTAAATGAATGAATGGTAGAACAAATCAAAATACTCTGAAATAAATTAATCAATTGCTGTGGTTGTAGTAGGTCCAAATTACAAGTATCAGAAAGACCGAAGAAAGCCACACACGTTTTTTTTTATTTATTTGTGTATGTGAGTTTGGTTTTTTTTTCGGCAGGTTGTTTGGTTGATCATCGAATCAATGAAATGACAAATGTAACTACCATTGACGAATTGAATTCACCGTCTACAGGTTTTCATCATCGTGGTTGTCGTTGAAAAAACTCTAAAAACTTTGCCGGTAATTGACAACATTGACACAGAGAAGGAGAGAATGAACAGCAAATTAGAGGGTCGGTAAAATCCAACAAAGGGTAGAATTTAAATTTTTTTTTCTCGTTGATTTAAATAATTTTTCTTGCCAAATGAAGAGCATTAACACACACACACACACATTCGAAAATTTGGAATGACTTTTCGGCTAAAAATCTAAATGAAAAAAAGTCCATATCAGATTCATTGAAATGTTTCAACCAAGAAAAAATGCTGAAAGGAATTTCTTGTATTCCAAGACCTTGAACCTTGTGACCAACGAACAAACCAAAAATGTACCGGAAACTGTTTACCTCATCATATTATCTATATTGATTGATTTATAAGTTCAAGAGATAAGAAGAAACCAACAAAAAATAATATTGCCAAATAGTGTGATTGAAAGAATGTCATGAATTTTGAAATGACCAAAAAAAAAAATCATTTATTGTATCGACGATTGGTATTGCTTTTTGTGTGGTGTCAACGTTGCCGCCGCCACCATCAATGCCAAAAATTTCATTTCAGGTAAAAAGCAAGAAAAAAATATCTTAAAAACAAATGCTGTACGATTGTGGCCTAAAATGAACAAATGTAAAATGAAAAAAAAATTCCCCTTTAATGGCTGAGAAGATAAGATAATCAGCAACGCCATGGCTATGGCCGATGATCAGGATTAGTTTTTTTTGCGCTTATTATGTTCTTGTTTCATTTCGTTTGGCAATATATTGATGTTTGGGCCAAGATTGTTACCATCAACAGCATCATAAACACAACGAAAGAAACATGTATACACAACGAGGGAGAGAGAGAGAGAGATCAACTTTACCTATATTTCTTTGCAATTAATTCATTTTGTCAATTAAGAATTTTTTCTTTAAATCGATCAAATAGCCACCAATAGCCAGATTCACATACAAATTTTATTTGTAACCAGATTAGTCATCATTAACAACATTTTAGTTCGATTATGATGATGATGACAAAAAAAAATTTTGTTCGTCATTTAAGATCATTATTATGATTATAATTATGATGATGAGAATGATTTTACCATTATTTTGATAATGGAAAAAATCATCTGTTGCATCATTCAATGTGTATGGATATTTCAATGGCCCATTAAAATCACTGACACAAATGTCGATCATTTGAATCATCATTAAATCGTATATGGTTGTGTATATGTGACACTAAAAATGCAATAAAATGACAAAAATCAAATTTGTTTTTTTTTATAATTTCATTAACTTTGATTATTGCTTATTTTTCATTTCGTATTTTTTTTTGTTGCTTTTAATAACGAGAAAACAAAGTGGCCATTGAATGTAAACGATGATTACTGATGACATGCCATGGCGCGCTAAAATTTCGATCAATGTCAAAATGTAAAGTTAAATTTCACCTAAAGATAAAATTATCATCATCATCATTAATGATGATAATATGTCCAAGCGAGCAAATTGTCATTGAAGATACGGCCACTCTCACGGTAAATTAGTCACATTCTGTGTGACCAAATCATCGTAATCATCATTTGAACAGAAGCAAGATGTAATTGTGGAGTTTTTTTCTGATTTTTTTTTTTTTGATATAATCATTGGTCACATCGAAAATTGAAAAATTTTCCCCCTTCAATTGCGTTTAATCATTATTATCTTTTGAACATTGCTATAAATTTATATAGCTTTTGGTATTTGTATGGGAGGCAATTCATTTCAATTTTTGCTGTTGATTTCAAACTTCAAATGACAAGGAATGCAACCTTATCCGTATACATCAAGAACTTTATGATGACTACAGCTAGAATATATCGATCGATGATTGGAATTCAGATTCCGATAAAAAGGTCGTTATTTTCACAACTAATGTTTGGTTTTTACAACTAGATTTATCTCGAAATCTGAAGCTTTATCTTTACACTACTGTTTCACTATTAGCAATCATCAGGATGGTAGTTTGACATCAGTCGAATTTTTTTTTTTTTTTTTTTTGAGTTACGTCAATTTTCTTGGCACTCGAAAACAACGAGAATTCCTCTCTTTTTTCATTTGTTTCTTTTTCAAATTATTCCAATAGAGCTACTGTGAATGTATCATGTCCCACGATTCAATGGCATTTTTTACATTCGTGATATTCATCAAAATAACGATGATCATCATTTCTCAAATCTCAAAATTGGTCAAAGGTCAGACCATAAAAAGGCCAAAAACAATCAAAAAAAAAAATCTCACTCTCTTTCTCTGGAACTTTGATTTACTGATTTCATTCCATTTCATTCAAGCTTTCAAAAAAAAATTCGGTGTGCAACGGAGCGTATTTTATTGAGTGAGATACATAATCAACAACATAGCTATACACATAATGAACAGGGGCAAATTATTATGATGGAGATGATCATCATCAAATCGAGGGGAAAAATTATCATTTGAAAGCGAGGTCCAAATAAAAAAAAACGATGAACGAAATTTCATTCAATCGTGACATAAAGGCGGCTACTTCATTCATTTATTCGTTTTAGTTTCGGTCAAGTTTTTTTTTCGGTTCGCCCGAGAAAATGAAAACGAATTTTTTTCAACATTTTTCTTTACATCGAAGAAAACAGAATGAACGAATTCATTCCATTTCATCAATAATAATAACGCTAATAATAATAATAATAATAAGGTTGTTGATGTTCTTGCACGTAAAGGATATCCGGCTATTTACTGCTGCTGCTGCTGTTGTATCAACGATTTTATAACAACAACAAAACCTACTGAAAAAAATCGAAACAAAAATTGAACAACATCATCATCATCATCATCAACAACAACAACAGCAGCAGCAGTCCTAAAAAACCTAAATTAACTTTTTTTTCTTCTCTTTCCTGACACACACAGCTGCACATAAATAGTATATGATTGAATTCAAATCGTTTGAAAAAACAAATATCCATAGCAAAAAAAAAAGATTGACTATTCCAATTATTATATATCGAAAATGGCAAAATTGAAGAATGTTTATGAATCAAAGTGTCATAAGAGGAGGAGGAGGAGATAATGATAATGTTTGGTCACTTTGTGTGTGTGTGTGTTTTTCATGTAGTATAATTATTATTTGTTCAAGGTATGAACAAATGATAAAAAAAATTCTTTGAATACACAGTCGATGGTAGAATGAATCGACAAAAAACGTGGACCGTTCGGCATTTTCGTCCTCTCTTTCCTTCTATCTATCTCGGAATCATTAAAATACCATTACCAAGAAAATCGATATTACAAGAATTTTTTTTCAAGTTCGGCTTTTTTTAACTTTCTATGTCATTGTGAAAAATGACCATCATCATGCATGAGAACGAGGACAATTTAAGGTAAAAAAGAAATTTGTTCGCTAAAATTGCGTACAAAAAAGGAATTTCAAACATATATAATAGAATCCAATTCATTCTTTTCAATTCATGAACAAGGATATCGATGTCATATTGATGATTATGATGATGATGAACGCGTGCAATTTTCGTAATACACGATTTTTGTTGTTGAACCACAAAAATCACCATCGGTGATAATTTAGTCGGTGTTTTCGAAATCAAAAATTAAGTATTTTTTATTGATTCTAATATTTTTTTTTTGTTGATTGAACTTGAAAGAATATTAATGAATTGATATTATAAATAAAGTCGGATTTTTCTTTTCATAGAAATGTACAGAATTGAAAGTATCGATAGAAGAGATAAAGCACATCAAAACTGTTCAAGGACTTTCAATTAACTCGTTTTCACAATCGATAGTCGAACATCCCCAGAAAAAAAACAGCCAATGGCCATGATTTGTCGTCGTGCTGTCTGATTTCTGATCAAAGAGCTTCAACAAGTTTTTTTCTCATTACACCAAAGTTTATCAACCTGAAGGAATGAGCAACACACCTGGACCTGCTACAAGTGAGTTTAGCTGATCAATCAATAACAACTTGATTAAGAACAGCAGCAGAGAAAATTTATTCATTT